CCCTCTGCCCGGGGACGGGGCTCGGACGCCCCAGGACGCGCCTCCCTAGCGGCCGTCGCCCATCAGTGCGCCCTGGGGCGCTCCCGGGCCGGCTGCTCGCCCAGGACGGGGATGGACGCCCGGGGTGCGCCTCGGCGTGGAGGGCCTGGGGGCCCGGGCGCACGCAGGAGCGCCCAGGGGGTCCCCGCGCTCCTGGGCCCCGGCACCGATGGGTTTGAGTTCGGGGGAGGCGGTTTGTGACCTTTCACAGGCCCTGGCGATTGGACTCGCGCCCCCTCCTCCACCAACGGGGGAACATGCCCTCGGCCCTTTGGGGGGGGGGGGCTTTCCCGCTGTCCAGTAGCTCAGGGGTTGCCAGCCAGGGGCGGGATGGGAGTCAGCCTCGACCTTGGAGGTGTCCAGGCAGACACCCCCCGTCAAGGTTGCCAGGAAAGGTCTGTGCCCAGCTCCTTGCTGGTGACCTTTTAATGTCAGGCCTGAGAGAGGGAGACTTGGGGGGGTGGGGGGCTGGGGAGCCGAGGGAGGGCGTCCGTTAGTCTGGCGGTGGAACTCTCCCTGGTGTATTTTCTGTCTCAGTCCTCAGGAGTGGGTGTCAAGAGGAGGGTGGACCCTAGATGCCAAGATAAGATAGAAAGATGCTCGGAGAGTTGGGGGTGGGGGTTGCGTACCTGTAGTTGGCTGTGTTTGGGAGCGAACCCTGGAGGGGCTCGGCAAGGGGGTATCATGCCCTGTTGGCAACCAATTCAGACAGGTCAGGGCCCTGGCCCCCCCCCACCCCCGGAAATTCAGAAAAATGGATTTTAAGTGCTGGGGCGTGCCCGCCTGTCTTCATCAAGCCTGCCTTCCCAAAGGCTCCAAGAATGATCTCTGGGGGGTGGGGGTGGGGGCCTGCCCTGGCCTGTTGGCTGGTAGCCAGTCGCCCCACCCACTTTAGGGGACTGTGAAAGTGAAGTTGTTCCCCCGAAGGAGAGGGTCTCATCTGTTCTTCAGGTTGGGGCATGGCAGGACCCCACCTTTTGGTCCTCCATTCCAGACTGATCGTCAGGGAGTGGATCCGTTCTCGCACTGACGGATCGGTCAGGATTTGGGAGCTCAAGACCCCTTAAATGGTCATGGGACCCATTTCTCAGCCCCGGGGAGGGGACTTGCTGGGGGGCGTCCCAGACTGCAGGGTTGGCCTGCAGAGCTATGACTTCACGTGGATCGAAAGTCCAGGAGGCCGTGGAGAGAGGCACAGATTTGGGTTATCAGGCACCAGGATTTGGACTCTGGCCCCGACCCTCTGAGCAGCCGCCACCTTGGGCAGCTGCGCTAATCCTGCCGGCCTCTGTTGGCTCAGGAATAATAACGTCCGTTCAGGGACCCGTGGCCTTGAAGCTGCATCCGTTTCTCTGGAGCCTTGAACCGTGGCTGGCGCCGATATCGATTGCCCCAGTCCCGGGCACTTGTTCGCCGCCCCCTGCCCCCCCCGCCCCTCGTTATTTTCTATCAGAAGCTAATTTTTCCCCTACCTCCTCCCCCTCAATCCAGGAACCATCCCAGATTTCAGGGTAGCCCACGTGTCTGTGGGGGCTTTCCAAGTCACAGAGCCTGGATTTGCTTATTGGGTTTTTTCTGTCTTATTGAATCAGCTACTTCTGGGTTAATCTCCCCCCCCCCCCCACCTCCCGGCCACCGGCATTCTTTTCTAGATGCCAACCGTCTTTTATTCTCTGTAAAAAGTCGTTGGTAGCGCTGGTGGTGGTAGGGATCCTTCAGAGTGACCCATGAGCTTCCCGGTGGTCCCCGTCTCCCCCACGTCTTCGCAGATGCGCCTTCCCGGGCCAGCCCGGACCCCGTCCTTCCCAGCCGTCAGCTCGATACGGCTCACTTATAAACGGTGAACATTTTTAGATTAAGATTTCATGAGCCACCGTATTAAGTGCTTTTGGGAAATTCGGGGATCATATGTCAGATGCACTCGGGCGAGTTCCTGAGTCACTGGAGTGGGGGGGAGCGGGGCAGCGCCCGCCGGGCCTGGCAGGGTGGCCAGTGCTTGCTGGTAATCTGGCCTGCATCCCTGCACTCTCCCTGTGCTTCCCGTGAGCTCGAACCGAAGTCAGCAGCACCGTGGAAAGGGACCCTTTTTCCCTTCTGCCGAGCCGGGGACTTCCTTCCTGTTCCTCTCTCCTCTCGCACCTCACGCTTTCTTGAGCGCAGATTCCCCGTTTGTCAGCGCACCCTGCCCTCCGTGGCGGAGGGGTGCTGCTGAGGCCTGCGCCCCTCCACGCCCTGCCCGGCTCCCCTCCAGCTGGAAGATGGCTGGCTCCTTTGTGTTTCTGCTGATCGCCTTGCTCCGTTTCTCCGTCTCCGCCGGTGCTCACGATGGGCAGACTGGCACCTTCTGGGGCCTGAGTTTGGAGTTTTGTTTCAGGCTGCCTGGAGCCAGCTCAGCCATTTTAAAATCTCCACCGGGGCTGCCTGGGAACTGACCCAAGCCCGTGCCTCCACCTCCGGTGGTGGCTTCTGGGCCCCGTCCCCTCACTCCCAAGGTTCATGGAATGTGGGTCTCCCTCCCGCCCCCCTCCCAGAGCGTAAAGCCATATGGGGGTTACGGGGACACATCGCTGGTGCTCGGGGCTTACTCCTGGCTCTGCGCTCAGGGATCACGCCTGGTGGGGCTCCAGGGACCATATGGGGTGCCAGGGATCCAACCAACCCAGGTGTGTGCTGTTGGAATCCTGTTGGTTTTTGTTTTTCCTGTTCTGTGTCCCTTGGCAGAACGGAGAGCATTGTGTAGGAAGCCGCCTGTGATCTCTGTCTCTGAGGATGCAGAGCATTGGTGTTACCTAGGCGGCTGCCATGTCGGGGGCTGTTTGGGCTGGGGAGGGGTGCGGGGTGTGGATCAGTGTTTCTCTTTCTCAGCATGCAGCCTGAGACGAGGTGGGCAGGTGGGGAGGGGGCTTCTCCTGCAGGCCACCTGTGAGGCAGGGAGAGGGAGCAGCATTGGCCTCTGGCCTCACAAGTCTCACGGTCTGGGTGGGCAGATGGAAATTGCCGGGCAGAGCGGGTCTCTGCAGAGACGGTGCTCTCCCTCTCCCTCTGCATTTCCAGCGCCTCCACGGCCAGTCCTGTGCCCTGGCCCTGCACCAGCCCAGCTCTCTGGCCGCGAGGGAGGTGCCTGCCTGTCAGCACGGCACTTCCTGTTTGGGAAGGTGGCTTTATGAGAGCCGCACCCTTCCCTCACCCAGGACAGACCAGCTCTCGGCTGCTGCCCCGAGGCAGCCTTCCCTGCTTCCTGGGGGACTGGCTCCCGCCTCCAAATCACCTTCCCAGCTCTGAGCCTGACCCTGGCCCTGACCCCTCTTGCAGGCTGGCCCTGTGGTTTCCTGTGCCTTTACTTCCGTCTTCTACAGCTACCCCAATCCGGGCCTACCTCAGAGGCCTCTGTGGTCCCGGCTTTTGCCCAAGTTTATTTTTTTCCTCCCTTTCCTGGCCCCGTCATCTTCCTCTGGCTTTTACTGACTTCCAAAGTCTCCACTAGCAGCCCTTTGAGGCTGAGCTGAACCTTCAAGCTGTCACACAGCCGGGCCCGCGGAAAGCTCAGCCCATTGCCTTTGGACCACAGGCTGCCCTGTGAAGAATGGCTGGGGTGCAGGCAGTCACCATCTCCCCCCAAAATCCCAGGGACCAGAGAGCTTTGGAGCCTTGACCACCGCCGGTGATCATTGCCCTGTGCCCTGCCCATGTAGTCATTCACTCCAGGTGGACACTGGCAGCCCATCAGGAAGTCCATCAAGGGCCGGCCACGTTGGCATTTTCCAAATGAGGACACACAAGCACTGTCCTCCCTGCCAGGACATCACTGAAGGCACTTGACTCCCCAAGTGTGGGGCGGTCTGAACCCTGGGATTACGGACCCACACAACAAATGTAGCTAGGTCCAAAAGGCGAGTCAGTGGGTAGATGGGGCTGGGGGACGGGTCTTTTCCTGGAGTCAGGGTCTCTCTGCCTCCTCCAGATGCCTTTTTTTTTTCTTTTTTGGGTCACACCCGGTGATGCACAGGGGTTATTCCTGGCTTTGCACTCAGGAATTACTCCTGGCAGTGCTCAGGGGACCATTTGGATGGTGGGAATTGAACCTGGGTCTGCCTTGTGCAAGGCAAACGCCCTACCCGCTTTACTATCGCTCCAGCCCCATCCCCTGTGCCTCTTGCTCCTGGAGATATCACTGTCACTGTCACCGTCCTCCCGTTGTTCATCGATTTGCTTGAGCGGGCCCTGTAACGTCTCCATTGTGACGATTGTTAGTGTGTTTGGCATATTGAATGCGTCACAGGTAGCTTGCCAGGCTTTGCCGTGCGGGCAAGATACTCCTGGTAGCTTGCCGGGCTCTCCCAGAGGGGCGGAAGAATCGAACTTGGGTCGGCCATGTTGGCTGTGTGCAAGGCAAACGCCCTACCGCTGTGCTATCGCTCCAGCCCCCTGGAGATATATGTGGTTTGAATCAGTGGGTGAGAGTGGCCATATTGGGTGTGGTGGGGACAGCATGGCCGATTTGGGTGTGGCGGGGACCCGGCAGTGTTGTTGGTGAGAGTGGCCACATTGAGTATGCCAGGGACTGGTCAGTGATGTTGGTGAGATTGGCCACCTTAGGTGTGGCAGAGATTGGCAGTGTTGCTGGGGAGAGTGGCACTGCCTTGCGGGGCAGCTGTCATGGGAAGTGGTTCTGAACTGTGGGTGGGGTCCGGGAGCAGATTTGCATCTGTGTGAGGGTGAGGTGGTTGGCAGCTGGACCTCATCACGGGCAAGGATTGGGGGATGCCTTGGCTTAAACTCACTTCATTCTGGGCTTCTTTGGTTTTGGTTTTGGTTTTGAGGCCACACTAGGCATGCTGGACGGCGGGGGTGGGGGATTGTGGCTCTCAGGGTGGGGTGTGGGGTGGCTCTCCAGGGACCTTCCCTGCCCCCTGGGCTCACTTTCTTCTCCTGTTCTCTCCAGCCTGTCCACTGGCGCTTTTGCTCCCACAGGTGACCCTGACTTTCCTGCTGGCACTGATGCGTCCCCAAGCGAGTGCAGAGATATTCCCTCCAGCTGGAGAGAGATGGGACAGCAGGTAAGGCACTTGCTTTGCAGGTGGCCGACCTCAGTTCCACCCCCAGCATTCCATAGGGTCCCCTGAACCCCTCTAGGAGTGAGCCCTGAGCACGGAGCAAAGAGTAAGCACTGAGCACGGAGCCAGGAGTCAGCCCCGAGCACAGAGCCAGGAGTCAGCCCCGAGCACAGAGCCAGGAATGATCCTTGAGCACAGAGCTGGGAGTGATCCCTGAACAGAGCCAGGAGTGAGCCCCATACACAGAGCCAGGAGTCAGCCCTGAGCCCAGAGTCAGGAGTGATCCCTGAGCACTGCCAGGTGTGGCTCAAGCCCGGACTTGGGGTCCATGTGAAGCCTGTGCCAGTCACCAGGGTGGCCTCGTTGTGTAGGGCTGGTGACCCACTCAAGTGTGTGTTTCTGAGGAGTAGGGAGCCAGGAATGCCTCAGGGGGCACCCCCAGTGTCGGCGTAAAGCCACTTGCCCCGTATCCTGACTGGCGAGCACAGGCAGAGGAACCAGCCCTGCTACCCAGTGCCTGCATATGCCCAGAAGTGCATATGTGGAAGCTGTACTCAGTTCCTGGGATATCAGACTGAAAGTTGCCTCTGCCTCAGGTCTGTGGCGCAGTTCCTCCAACCCTGTGTCTGTGTATGTCCCTGTCCCCTCCCTGTCCCTTCACTCTGGCTCCATCCTTACAAAAATGCTGAAAGAAGCCTCAGCCTGTGTCCTGCCAGATGCTGTCCCAGTCGAAGGATCACCACTAGCTGTATGGAAGGGGCGCCCTTTGACCTGGAAGTGAATGGATGACCCCAGGGAAGCTAGCAGGTCCCCACCACCACCCGCTTGTTGGAAAGACCCCAGGATGTGGCTCTATGCAGGGGACACAGGCATATGACCCTCCTGCCAGTACCCTTCCCCACATGGGACATTCTAAAGACCCAAGCAGAGCAGGTGTGGAGAGGGGCAGTGCCCGGCCAGGGCTTTGGCTTTGGGAGATTGGTCAGTGCATGCAGCACCCTGGAGGGGGCCACCACTGCGGAAGGGAGCCCCCTGCCCCTGACAAGTGATCGCTTGGGTCCCTCTTAGCTCGGGGATTGGAGGTATTTTCCGTTGGCGGGGAGAGGGGACGGGGGGAACCAGGCGCTGACGCCAGGGCTGAGGCCAGAATGGCCGAGCCCATCTGCTGACTCAGCCCAGGAGGTGCTGATCTCTGTAGGGTGGGAGCGGGGCTGACCCAGGGACGGTTGGGTCACCCAGTCATCACTCATCCACGTATCGGCCGGAGGACAGGATTTTGAGGGGATGGCACATCTACTCAGCCCGGCGTGCCTGTGGTGACCCGGTGAGAACCACTCGGTGCCCACATCCCACTCTGCACAGATGTCCCTGACGGTGGCCCTGTGACAGTCTCCAAGGGCAAGCTCCAGGGCAAGCCTCACTCTGACCCCAAGGGGACCCGCAGTGTCACAGCGCTGCTCCAGTGCCCTCCACTCTCTCCCTGTCATGTGGATTGTTGCCTTGGCTTTAAAAGTGGTAGAAGGGCTAGAGCACAGTGGGTAGGGCGTTTGCCTTGCATGTGGCCAACCCGGGTTCGATTCCCAACATCCCATCTGGTCCCCCGAGCACTGCCAGGAGTAATTCCTGAGTGTGTGAGCCAGGAGTATCCCCTGTGCAATGCCATGTGTGTGATCCAAAAAGAAAATAAATAAATGAAAGTGGTAGAAGTTGGAGAAATAGTAAGGGGGTGAGGCGGCGCTCACCTCGCAGGAGGCCAACCCAGGTTCAGCCCCCGGCAACCCGTATGGTTCCCCAAGCCCCGCTGGGAGTGATTTCTGAGTGCAGAGCCAGGAAGAAGCCCGAGGTCCCGCTGCGTGTAGCTTCCAGAACCAAATAACAGTAATGGGGGGGAAGAGGAATGAATTCACGCACCCAGAAGCTGGATCCACACACGTGTGCGTGCCTCGGTGTGGTGAGCCTTGCTGGCCGCCTCATCCTGCCCACCCCCCACGGAAAGCATCTGGGGCGGGGTGGGGGGCGGAGTGTTGGTGGGACCTGTCACTGACCTATTTCCACAGACCTGTCTGCGGTTGGGGAGGCGTGGCCGGAGGTGTTCGTTTTAGAATGCCTTCGCTGCCCTGCAATCTAGGTTAGCTGGGGGTGAAGGTGTGCCAGGTCGCGCCCGGCTTCTGAATCCTAGAAGGTCACATCATCTGGAACATCCACCAGTCAGTTTTGGGGTGCTCCACAGAGATCCTGAGTCCGTGGGGCCGAGTCTTTTCTGTGTTCTGGACTATGCCCAGGGCCCCGAGGGGCCCAGTTCCCCCTTGGGCAGCATCGTGGGGGTTGGGGTGCTCAGCCCTCCCTCAGGCAGCAGGGCAGTGCTGTCCAGTGGCCAGGGAAGAAATGCCGTTCCTTTCACGGGTGTTTCTGGGTGATGGTGCCTCAGCCCGAGCTGGGCAGGGGCCTGACCTCCTGTCTATCCCCCCCGAGGAGTCCCTGGAGCCTGACTGGTGGCCCTGAGGCCCCTGCCGGTGCCCCCCTCGGAAATACACTCACTGGCCCGTTGGGCCTGCCGGGATCATCCTAGGTGCCGTGGGTTTTACTTGTACAGTATGTGGCTGGTTGCTTTCTGTTTTTTCCTTAGAAGGGGGTGCGTTTGGGCCACACCCGGCAGTGCTCAGGGCTCACTCCTGGCAGGCTCGGGGCAGGGAGGGAGTCGTGCAGGGTGTGGGGATGGAATTCCATTTGGCTGTGTGCATGGCAGAGTGCCTCCCTGTTACCCTATGGCACCGGCAGTGTTTGGGGGCCTTGTGAGCCATCAGATGCCTTTCTAAAAGGCTCGTCCTCCTGGGAAAGTGCTGGACCACCTCAGCAAAACTGCCCAGCTCAATCCTTCACCCACCTTTCCAGAATGTTCTTACGGGGGGCAGGGGTGGCAGAGGTTTCATATGGCAGGGAAAAGAGCCACACACCTGGCCTAGGTCTGATCCCCTCCTCCCCAAGTGACCTCTGAGCACTGCCAGGTGTGGCTCAAACAACCCCCCAGAAAACAAAACAAAGCAGATCGATACAGCCCAAAGGCCTGGCCTTGGTGTGGTCCGCTGCTGGCCAGCCGGAGTGACTCAGCCCCGAGCCGCATTCCTGGCGGGGGTGGGAGGCTTCGGGGCCCTGTGCCGGGACTTTCCTCGGATCAGAACCTGCGGGACCCGGCCAGGCTGTGGGCTGCGCGCGACCTTGGCAAAGGCCATTGCGTCCTCCCATGCCTGGATGTCCTTTGCGGGCCCCTGCACTGCGTGTGCTCTTCCCTTTCTCCTCTCACAGCTTCACCCCTTTTTGAATAACTTTCAATAAAAAACTTTTTTGTTTTACAAAAAAAAAGGATAAGAACCAAGACGGTCAAAGACGGGGTTACGCACTGCCCCTCCCCCCCGCACTCACTGAGCTCCCCCTGCCCCAGTGACCTGCTGCCACCACAGCCCTCAGGGAGGGAGGGGCGCCCCGTCTGGGGGCCAGAGGGCTGCACACCAGAGCCTGTCCTGGCTTGCTGTTTCCTTTCTTCCTAGATTCTCGCAGTTGCTATTTTAAAACTATTTTCCCTAATTGAAATATTTGTAGTCATCATGCATTTTGGAGGAAAAAGAAAATTGCCTCTGCTAATAATAGCTGAGCGTGAGGAGGTCCAGGCTGGTCTGGAGTGGGAGTGGGGGGGTCGTGCTTTTACCCTCTGAACGTGGGGGCTGCCCCCGGCTCTGTGCCAGGAAGCTTCCGGAGGTGCCAGGGGTCAGCCCCGGGCCCCCGGCCTGCCAAGCCTGTCCCACTGGAGCACAGACAAGACACGGATCAGGGCTGGTAGCCCCTGCCCTCGCCTTTCCCTCCTCTGACTCCACCTTTTTTCTGCCAGCTCTTAGGCTGATGTGAGTGACCTTCTGCGCTGCCCGTCCAGCTGTCTGACCGTCTGCAAGGAGACTTCCTATTGGCTGGAGCAGGACAAGACAGGTGAGCGTTGCCCGCCTCCGTGCCATCCCCGGTCGCTGCATTGGTGGTGGCGAGGGACGTGATTCGTTCGCCCAGAGACTTTCCTTTGGCTCCCCCAGGAAACCGCCATCGAGAGAGACGGGGCGGGGAGGGGACATGTGGGTGCAGCCTTGCCCCAGTGGCTGCGCGTTCTCCCGCTCCCTGTGGGAAGCTTTGGATGTTCATTTGGGGGGCACAGTGGCAGGAGAGGGCCGCGCTCGAGAGAAACGGATGCTTTTCAAGGCCCCCGTTCAGGCTAGAGCGGCAGGATGGCGGGGAGGGCGTTTGCCTGGCATGCCGCCCACCAGGCTCCATCCTTAGCATCCCTTGGGGTCCCCCAAGCACTGCCAGGAGTAATTCCCGAGTGCAGAGCACTGCTGGGTGTGGTCAAAAAAAATCCCAACAAAGCAGAGACAGAAAAGGAGTCAGAGGCCCCAGTTCAGAGCGGGTGTCTTTGAAGACTGGTTTCTGGCCCCCGGGGCGGCTGTCGCTGAGCACCCTGGCTGGCTTGGCTACCCCCCCACCCCCGGCCAGCTCCCCTCTGCCCCACATCAGAGCCCGCCTGAGGCTTCCTGCACCGCCCCCGGGGCCAGGCCTACAGTGGCTGTTTTAGCAGAGATGCCCCAGCTGCTTCCAAGGAAGTGGTTGCCATGGCTACTGGGGCAGCCAGTCTCCCCGCCTCCTCCTGGCCACTCCGGGGCTCCCTGACATGTAGGTCACGGTGGAGTTTTCTCCCCGAGCACGGATGCAGAACGCCATCCTGGCTTCGTGTCCCCCCACCCACCCACCCCAGACTCCCTCTCTCTGGGGCCCCGACTCGACTCGGGCCCTCTTAACACTTTTCTGTTGGGGTTTGGTTTGGGTGGGGGAGTGTTTCGGGGCCACGTCTGGGCGTTCTCGGTGCTCACTGCTCATGGGGGCGGGTGCTGTTCAGTGCCAGGGGCTGGTGCTCTGCCCTCGGCCCTCACCACCGGCGTCCACAGGTCACCATGAACGCCGTGCTGGAGGCGCCCGAGCTCCCGGCCGTGTTTGACGGCATGAAGCTGGCGGCGGTGGCGGCCGTGCTCTACGTCATCGTCCGCTGCCTGAACCTGAAGAGCCCCACGGCACCACCTGAGCTCTACTTCCAGGACACAGGCCTCTCACGCTTCCTGCTCAAGTCCTGCCCTCTGCTGACCAAAGAGTGAGTGGCCCCTGCCTGGGCCCAAAGGGGAGGGAGCAGGAGCTGGGGGAGCCTGGGGGTCAGGCCCAGGACCAGGCGAGGCAGATCACGGCAGGTGTTTGGGGTGATAGCGGAGACATGGCCCTCAGCCAGTGGGTCTCTGTCGCCAGTTCTGGGCTTCTCGGGAACCCTTGCTCTAATAGTCCCACCGTGGGTGCATTCATTGTTCAGCCAGCGGAGCTTGCTGGGAGCTCCCAGCTGCCTTGTTGGAAGGGGAGGCTGACAGCAGCTGGGAGCAGGGTGTGGCAGGGAGCGTGTTTGCCTCACACACGGCTGTCCCAGGTTCGGTCCCCAGAACCCAATAGGGTCCCTGAGCTTGCCAGGAATGAACCCTGAGCCATGCTGAGTGTGGCTCAAAAAACGAAGATGGTAAAAGGTGACGGGGGGGGGGGGGTGGCTGAGCTTTGGTCCCCAGAATCCTCCCAGAGGAGCGAGTTTGCCAGGTGCATCAGGGCCTGGGGTGCAGATGCCGAAGCTGCTGCCACATCTTGAATCTAAAGCAGAACCGGGAAACTCACTCGGGGCTCTGCACCCCACACCATGCAGGTGGGACGGCAGGTGTGATACCAGGTGGGATAGTGGGTGGGGCAGCAGGTGTGATGGCAGGCGCGGCACAGGTATGGTGGCAGGTGTGATATCAGGTGTGAGGCAGGTGAAGGACTCTCGCATGCAAGTTGCAGGCCTGCTCAGTCTCCCTGGCCTCATGGCTCTTCCACCCCGTCATTAGCCCATTTCCCTCCTCGGGAAGCCCACACCAGGAAGGGCACGAGGAGTGGGTTGAGATGGAAGTGATGCTTGTTGGGGATTTTGCTGTGTTTGTGTGGCAGGTGGGGGTTTCAGCCCCCCAGAACCTGTTGGTCAGGAATCACACCGCCCAGCACCCAGACTCTGCCACGTGCCGTGTCTGGAGCCCTTGGGCCACCATCCTTTTCCTGCGTGGATCATGGCACCCGGCCCAGTGCCGTGGGCCAGCGGCATGCTCCTAGGATGTTTTCACACCATCCTTTGGCACCGACAACTGCGGCTATGCGACCTCCCGGCCCTCAGACCTGCCAACACCTGCGGGTCTCTCCTCCCCATAAACGTTCCGCCTGGCCCTGGCTCAGTCCGTGGAAGTTCATCCATGGCACCGGCTCCCCACCTCCCCACCTTTGCCTTCCCGGCCCCCACTTCCTTCCCGTGGCGGAGCTGCAGGGGCCTGGCTGCAGGGGGTGAGGCTGAGGGACTGGAGGTGGACCCTGGCGGTTTCCTGCCCAGGCTCACACGCTGCGGCTTCCCGCACTGTCCCCTCCCAGGCTGCCCGCCACTGCCCCTTGGCAGGATCCGGAGCCAGCTCAGCCCCTTCAAGGCGAGTGATCGTGGAAAAGAGGCTCATTATCTTAGGCTTAGCTGCCCCTGGACTCCGCTCCTGCCCACACGGGGCCTTGCCTCATCGGTGGACACTGGAGCTTTGTCCTCCTGGAGGACAAGCCCCTTGCTGCCAAGTCCCAGGCCCACTGACCGCCCCCCTCTCAACTGGCTCCGACCGACATTCTGTGGGGCCTGTGGTTCCTGCACACGACCCCGATCGCCCTTGTGTAGGCGGCATCCTGAGGGTCCATCCATCTCTCTGTCCACCACTGCCTTCGTGCTCTTGTTTCTGAGGAGATGGTCCAGACCCCGGTGGCCCCACTGGTGTGTGGCTCGCAGTCCCGGTCCTGAACCTGACCCCGAGTGTTTTGAGGGGCTGAGGAGGGGTGACACGGGACTCTGGGGAGCTCCTCTCACCAGCCCCCAGTGGACACCCCTGCCAGCCACGCCAGCCCCAGGGGCACCACCAGTGTTCCTGGCAGCTCCTGCTTGAGGACCCGTCTCTGCCCTAGACTGCTGACCCCACCCCCACCTCGCTTCTGCCTCGCCTTTTGCTGACTGCAGGGTGCCTGGATGGAGTGGACGGGTCCAGGGTGGGAACTCTAAGAGCAGTCACCCAGGGCAGCCTCACCCAGAGCTGTTGTGATTCCAGTCCCTCGCCCAGGGAGGGAGAGTCCCTTGAGAATCCTTTGACCTTCTCTTTGGGTCCTGATGCCCTGGTCCCAGGCCACAGGCCGTCCCCTGGGTCTTCTCCCCTGAGATCCGCTGTTCCTGGGATTTCCGTGGGGGTCATCCTCGGCAGGTGAAGCCACGAAGCCATGAAGCGTGGAGCTGAGCCTGTCACTCCCCCTTCAGGGACCGAGACGGGGAGGCCCCTCCTCCCTTCTCCCCCAAGCTGGTCGCCTCTGGCAGGCCTCGTACCCAGACCCCAGTGCCACAGTGCGGCATGACAAGGCAGAGAGGAGTTTCAGTTTCCCCAGAAAGAAGAGCCCAGAGGCCCCTCCTGGCAGCTCGGGGAGCGGCTCAGGCCTCAGAGCAAAGGGCACCAGCAACCCCCCAAAATCGTTTTCCTTGGGGGCGACTCCTGGTGGTGCTCGGGATCCTGGGGCCCTTGGAGCCCTTCCCGGCCCTGCTCCAAGCATTGTTATCTTTTCTTCTCCCGGGATTTCCAGCCGAGCTGGGGAGGCTCAGGGGCCACGCTGGTTCTGCTTCCTCTTCCTCCGACTGAAAGGCGAGCCCCAGCTCACCGCCCCTAACAGGGCCTAAGCAGTGATACGCGCAACTTTCCAGAACGTTTCTTTGCCCTTGCTTGTGGGGCACACAGGGAGTGGCGCTTCCTGGTGGCGGTGGGGGCAGAGGGGGCCTCTCTGGCGCTGGTGGCCCTGTCTGTGCCTGTTCCCCACGGGGGGCGGGGCAGCAGCCGCGCCTCTTCCTCCTGGCATGCAGCTGACCTAAGTTCCATCCCTGGCACCCCATATGGCTCCCTGAGCCCAGCCAGGAAGCAGCCCTGAGCACCAACCCCCAAACCGAAACCATTAATAATCATTAATAAAGGGTCTCCGCCCGCCCCTTTCATGCGCACTGTCCCGGGGGCAAGGCGGTGCCCTCGCTCACCTGAACCGTTGTTTCCTGTGCTGGCCTGGCCTGTGTGGAGAGCCCGCCCCCAGCCCCTCCCCCCCCCCCCCCCCCCCCCCCCCCCCCGCATCCCGCATCGCGAGAGCTCAGTGGCCTTTCCCTGATCCTCTGCAGAACTCGGTGTGAGAGGAAGGAGCCCGTTGTGGTACAGCGCAAATATTTGCCCCAGGTCCGCTCGCTCGCTGTCGGCCTCTCTTCCCAGCCCTGACTGGCATGTGCCATCCAGCCGCCTCCTGCCACCCGCTGGCCCACAGAAGGGGCTTCTGGTTGGGAACTGAGGAATCGGGGTGGGGGGCCCACTTGCTGCTTTGAGGGATTCAGTTTCCTCTCTAGGCTGTACCCCACTGTGAAGTCTGACTCCCCTCACTGAACAGTCGCGCCGTGCCTGCTGTTCAAAGGCCGCCCTCCTCCCCCGTCTGGGCGTGGGCTTGGGTGCGTTCTCCCCGAGACCAGCGCTGACCCTAAGTTCGCATCTGTAGCTTTTCAGATTTCATTAGGATGGGAGCAAGCTGGTGCCCTTCTCTGCCCTTTCTGTTGCTTCCTTGGTTCTTCTGGCGTTTGTTTTCCCAAATGAACTTTAGATCAGTCTCTTACCTCCACATCCCTCACCCCCCACCCCCCGCCCGCCTTACTCTCCAGGGAATGAATGATTGCGGGAATCACCGGCCAGAGAAGCCTTTGTCGGTGGGGGGCTGGAGAACTGGGACGGCAGGGAGGGCGCTGGTCTTGCACACGGCTGACCTGAGTTCCATCCCTGGCATCCCAAAGGCTCCCCCGAGCCCTGCCAGGAGTGATCCTTGAGTGCAGAGCCAGGAGGAAGCCCTGAGCACCGCCGGGTGTGGCCCCCAAACCAAGAAGCTTTTGTAGTTATTTTTGTTCTGAGGCCACACCTGGGCCACTCCTGGCTCCACTCTGGGATCCGGGCCTCGGGTGGGCTGTGTGTGTGTGGGCGAAGGGGACGCTGTTCTTCTCTTCCCAATGGGGCATCGACCACCCGCTTGGCCTGGCTCCCGTGGCCTGGGAGCAAGCTCAGTGGCTCCCCCTATGCCAAGGACCCTGATCCCATCCTGCAGACTCTCCTCAGCCTCTGATCCCCGAAGGCCTCATCTCTGTACTCTCACCTGAGGTCACCCCCTCTGGCCTCTCTGTCCCCATGCCAGTAGCTGTCGGTGTGTCTCCTGCGTCCCCCTGGGTTCCACAGAACTGGTGCCCAAGTGCCAGGAGGACCAGAGCAAGGTGACGGAGCCATGCTCTGGCCAGCGCCTGGGCACCAGCAGCCCACGTGTCCCTCTGCAAACAAGTCTGAGGCCAGTGTAAAGACCAGCACTGGAATAGAACAGCAGGTAGGGCGTTTGCCTTGCACGTGGCCAACCCAGGTTCGATTCCCAGCATCCCATAAGGTCCCCTCAGTGATTCCTGAGTATACGAGCCAGGAGTAACCTCTGTGCATCGCTGGGTGTGACCCAAAAAGAAAAAGAAGGAAAAAAAAAAAAAGACCAGCACCATCCCCATGTGGGCAGAACCTCTGAAGTGGCTTTTGCCTCCCCAAACGTGCAGGCGCCAGTGGGATGGGACCCAGGGCTTGGGAGTCAAAGGGACACGAGATACACAGCAAGGCCGGGATGTTAGTCAGCCTCTCTGGGCTTCTGGGGAGAGAGGAGCTTTCTCTTGTGGGTCCCAGGACCCTGTCATCATCCTGGGCTCTGGCCCAGACGCATCCTTTATGTGCTCAGCCGGAGCGGGGGGCATGGGGCAGTTGCATGTGTGAGCCTGTGTGCGCCCACGTGTGCACAGGTGTTCCCATGTGTGCCCGTGTTCCCACATTTGCGGAGTAGCAGAGGCGGGCATGCCCAGAGGAGCCCTGTGGGCTTTGGCACTGCAGGTCGGTCAGGGCCGGATGCTGGCTGGAAGCAGGCCAGAGGGCGAGGACAGGCCAGCCTCTGCTTCTGGGCAGCCCCGTGTCCTCCCGGATCCTCACTTAAGCAGGACAGCATGCCCCGGGCACAAGAGTCGAGGTGGAGGCCGCTGGTGGGGCCCGAGGGCCCGAATATCCCAGCTGCTCCCGCTAAGAATAGCTTGCGCCAGAGTCCCCACAGAAATGGGCGCCGGCTCGCGGGGACTGTGGGCCGTTTCTATGGCGCTGGGGAGAGCCTGGAGCTGCTCCAGGAGGCCGCAGCCAGGGAGGGGCCGGGCCTGGGTTCCCGCAGGCAGCAGTCCGCGTGTGGCCCTGGCACAGGGGGACTCAGGGCAGAGCCCACACCTGCCATGGGCTGTCCCGCAAGCCCCTCTGAAATGAGCCGTGGGTCGTCATCCCTGCTGGCCCCCAACCCAGGCCCCCAAACTCTCATCCTGATCTTCTCCGCCCCTCCCCGACGGCTGCTGCAGCACCTCCCCACCCCCCCGCCTCCATTGGCACTCCCTCCTCTCCGCTGCCACCATGGGGGCACCCTGACAGAGACTGGTGTCACTCCTACCTCATGCAGCATCTCTGCCAGCATCGGGCTTGGTGTAAGATCAGGAGAAGCCCCAGTGGGCTGGGATGCCACCCAGTCTGTGACCTGAGCATAGTGTCAGCGATGTGGGTGCCGCCAGCCGCCCCCCCCCAGAATACTCTCTGGCACGGAGCTTTTACTCGGCCCCCAGATTAGTTCGGTTGGGGTGGGGGGCATAGCCAGCCATAATCCACTGAAGGCCCCCCTCCTGTGTGCAGAGGCCTGGCTCAGCCTGGCAAGCTCTCTCGGGACCCGCATACCACCCCCTGCCTCCTTTCTTACTGCTCCTCAGGGGGCCCCGGTTTTCCCTATGTCACACACACACACACACACGGCGCCCGTGTAGCCAGATCCCAAGTCTGTGTTTGCTCAGAGCTGGGTTGTTAGGGAGCCGTGCCTGGCGCAGGCTCCATGGCCTTTATCCTTCATTAATCCTGCAAATATTTACAGCGCTCTGCCCTTCCAGCACATTCTCTGGGGCACAGAAGGTCCCCTCCTCTGACCCCCCCACCTATGCATGAGGCTTGGGCAGGCCCCGAAGGGGATGATGGCCAGTGTCCAGGGGGGTCGCAGGGCCAGGAGGAGGCGGTTGGGAGCTGCAGGAACATGTGTTTGCCGCGCCAGACATACCTTAGCCAGTGCTTGGTGCTGCAGTTGTCAAACGGGGACCGCCTTACCTCCATCTCCCGGCCCCTCGCTTTCCCGCCCATCCTGGGGCTCCCGGGCCTGTGTGACACAGGATGGATCAGTCTGTGGGGCACGGAGGCAAAGCTCATATTCGTGCCTCACGAACCACCTACCCTGGCAGGCCGGGGTCACAGGAGGGCCAGGAGAGGCCATCGGGTTGTCCGGATGGAAGGCTCGGCCTCTCCAAGGGGATTTGCGCCCATCCCAACCCGCGGCACCCCCGACTGTCTCTCTCTGCCCTCAGGTACATCCCCCCACTGATTTGGGGCAAGAGCGGCCACATCCAGACGGCCCTGTACGGGAAGATGGGCCGGGTGAGGTCCCCGCACCCCTACGGGCACCGCAAGTTCATCACCATGGCGGACGGGGCCACGTCCACCTTCGACCTCTTTGAGCCGCTGGCAGAGCACTGTGTCGGAGGTGAGCACGTCCATACGCAGGAGCGAGGCAGGGCGGGCGGCCCCTGCTCGCGGCACCCACCTTGGTCACAGTCAGGGGTGGCTGCAGCAGTGCTCATGGGCCCCTCGGGACACATCGTGGACAGCAGGGGCTGGGTGGGTGCAGTTCAGCCCTGTGTGTGGGGTGTGTGTGGGTGTGTGTGTGTGTGAGAGAGAGAGAGAGGGAGAGAGAGAGGCCCTGGGTTCAATCCCCAGCACCACCAAAAGATAAAAATGCCAAGGTCCAGAGTGACAGGACAGCAGGCAGGGTGCCCGCCTTGTACTCAGTTCAGTCTTTGGCACCCCGTATGGTTCCCTGAGCCCCTCCAAGAGTGATCCCGGAGTGCAGAGCCAGGGGTAACCCCTCAGCACTGCTCGGTGTGGCCCCAAATACAACAACAAACAAAAAAGCAAAAGCAGGCCCAGTGCCATAGAGCAGCAGAGAGGGCATTAGCCTTGCACTTGATCCCCAAGTTCGATCCCCAGCATCCCATCGGGTCCCCAGAGCCCCTCCATTAGTGATTCCTGAGCACGGAGCCAGGGCATTGGCGGGTGTGATCCAAAACACCCCCGCCAAAAACAAACAACCCCCCCCACAAAAAAACAACAATAAAAACCACCTTTCCCAGATGGAGCTGCATCGGAAGCTTCCTGTCGGCTTCCCTTGTGTGTACCTCGGCCCAGGCAGGGTGGTGGTGGCGCCGGGTGATGGGGACATGGGCTTTCTCTCTCTCACCCTGCAGATGACATCACCATGGTCATCTGCCCTGGCATCGCCAACCACAGCGAGAAGCAGTACATCCGCACCTTCGTCGACTATGCCCAGAGGAATGGCTACCGCTGCGCTGTGCTCAACCACCTGGGGGCGCTGCCCAACATCGAGCTGACCTCCCCACGCATGTTCACCTACGGTACAGGGGGCGCACGCTGGGCTGGTGGGGAACCCTTCTTCCTGCTCCCTCTGCGATCAGATCTGCCCTCCTGCTGCCTTTCCCCCAGTCTCGACTCAACACCTGGTGCTCGGGGCTGGCTTCTGGCTCTGGGGAACCTGTAGGATGCTGGGGATAGAACCCACGTCAGCCACATGCAGAGCAAGCGTCCTCTCTGCTGTCCTGTCACTCTGGCCCAGGGTGTGGACTTCTTGTAGGGTCCGAGAGCCCTGGGCGCCACAGTGCTGCTACTGTGAGGCACCACGATCTTCATTATACCCCATCTCCTGGAGGGAAAACTGAGGGTCCCAGAGAGGGACAGGACCCCAGCCAAAGGCAGGAATCACAGTAACATGAAACCATGGTAGGGCAGGATTGACCTGTGCTGGCCATAGATAGAGGGGTGCCCAGGGACTTATCTGGCTGTCCCTGCCTTCTGGGTAACAGACCGCTGTCAAAGGGCCAGAGGGGAGATGGTGGAAGGAAGGAGCGCACACCAGCATGTGTGGATGGGGTGGGGTTTGGGGTGCAGGGACCAGGAGGGCGGGGCACAGACTGGGCGTCGTCCTGGGGACAGTGGGCAGAGATCAGGCACCGTGCTGGGGATGGCAGGGTTGGCTGGCCCAGGACCCCAGCTTCAGCCCGAAGAAGCCTCTTGGGACTTCTGGACCTGTGGGTGACCATCCTGGTGTCAGAGCCCATGGGACTGGGCAGCTGGACTGTCCCGAGCACCTCCAGCCTCTCCCTGGGTGACTCATCCGTGTGGTCAGTGCCCAAAGCTCTGAGAAATGACTCTGCGCCCCGGAAATGGGGGCAGGGCTGCGGTGAGGTTGGAGGGCCGGGTCATCCCCCCTCGACTTGCAACCTCGGTGGAAAGAAATGGAGGCGGGCCCCGCCCCCGGCCTGCCCAGCCCAGGAGGGAGGCCAGGAGGTGACTCAGCATCTGCCCCCACCTCCCGCATGGAACACCGAGTCTCTGGGCGTGCTTGTTTGTGTCTGTGTGTGCATGTGTGTGTACGTGCATGCCTCTGTGTATGTGCGCATGTGTGAGTGTGCACACATGTGTATGTGTGTATGTGTATTTGCATGTGGGTGAGTGCGTGTGAACGTGTTTGTGCGCCCATGTGTGGATGTATGTGCATGTGTGTGCACGTGTGACCACATGTGTGTGTGACTGTGTGTGTGTGTGTATGTGCATGCATGTATTTCTGTCAGAGAAGTATGTGTATGTGCATGCATGCATGTGTGTGCACTTGTGTGCATGTGTGACCACATGTGTGTGACTGTATGTGTGTGTGCGTGTATGTGCATGCATGTATTTCCGTCAGAGGAGTCGGCGTGCAAACACCCAGTCCTCAAGGAGCACCGTTTCCTAGAACCTTGGGGCAAGGCCTTGCTCCAAGTTGTCTTTAGGGCCGTTGGCAGGGGGGAGGCGTTTCTTGCCTGCCAGCTGGCCCCGTGGGTTAGTCTCAAGTTTCATCTCCAAAGAAGCTGCAGATTAGGTGTCTAAATCCCGTTGGTGGCGCTAATCCTGAAGGATGAAGCACCTCATTAAACCCTCCTCAGTTTAGGAAGCAGCTGGGGTCGCGCCCAGCCCAGGAGCTCCCGGAGGCGGGTGGGGGTCCGGCTCCCCCCTTGCTGGGGAGCTCGTTTCCCTTTCAGGCCGAGGAGCGTTGCTGGGATTGAGGCCTGGAGCGGGAGACCAGCTGTCCCGGGCCAGCCACACGGACGGCACAGGCAGTCATCCTCGGGGAACCCAGAGACCCCCAACCTGCACATGTTTTCACTGATGCAGCCCTTTTCGGGCCCCCTCGCTAAGGCTGAGCAGCTGGAAGCGGGTGCAGTGGGTGGGGAGGGGGTTCCTGTAGGCAGGTGTGTTTGGGTTTGGGGGTTCCTGTTTGCCGGGTAGGAGGGCACTGCTGGTGGGGTGGAGCAGGGCGGCACCTTGCAGGGTGGAAGGAAATATTAGCAAAGCCTGCCCCGTCCACTGCCTCGGCTTGGAAGCTTCCAGAAAGCAGAGCAGCGCCCCCCAGTGTGAAGTTTGTGTACTGCAGGTGGAAGGAACTGAACCAGCCTTGCTGGGGGCCCTGTGCCACCGGCCTGTCCTGGGCAGAGATGCCCCACACAGACCCCTCCCCTCAGGCCCAGTCCAACTCTCCAGCCTGTCTCCTGGCAACCCAGATTAGGAGCGAGTGCCTGTTGCTTAGCAGGGAGACATCCTAAAGGAGGGCACGGCCTGGATGCCCAAATCCGGCCTTCCCACGGCACCCTGCCTTCCTGCTGGGGCACCGCTGGGCTGCCCACATACTCGGGCCTCGCTTCCCTGCCCACCACGTGCCCCAACCTGCTCCTCTCAGAGGTCTTGGGGGACACTGCTAAGGTCATCCCGCTCCTCCACCCCCCGTACCTTCCCACAGGGACATCTCCCCTGGCCCCCCCAGCACCCTCTTTCTCCCAGAGACCCTCTCCCAGCCCTTTGGCCTGTCCCCACTGCCCACGCTGACGACTCCCCGTCAGAGACAGGCACCTGGTTCTCCTGCTCACCTGCCATCCTCATGAGGACCGCATCCCAGTTTGTGGCCTAAGGAGCCAGTTCTCAGAGCACTCGTTTCTGTGTGCACCGTGTCCGCCCCTCTTGGGACCCCAGGGGCCAGTGGGGATGAGCCTGGGACGCCCTGAGTGTGTCCTTCGGGTCTGACCACCACCCTGCTGCCCGCAGGCTGCACCTGGGAGTTCGGGGCCATGGTGAGCTACATCCGCAGAACCTACCCGCAGACGCGGCTGGTGGTGGTGGGCTTCAGCCTCGGGGGCAACATCGTGTGCAAGTACCTGGGCGAGACGCAGGCCAACCAGGAGGACGTGCTGTGCTGCGTCAGTGTGTGCCAAGGCTACAGTGCTCTGAGGTGAGTCGGCCCGAGACCCCGCCCCTGGCCCGAGTAACCCCGCCCCCGGCCCGAGACCCTGCCCCTGGCCCGAGTAACCCCGCCCCCAGCCCGAGACCCCGCCCCGGTCCGAGTAACCCCGCCCCCGGCCCAAGAGCACGCCCCGGCCCAAGTAACCCCGCCCCCGGCCCGAGACCCCGCCCCTGGCCCGAGTAACCCCGCCCCCGGCCCGAGTAACCCCGCCCCAGCCCGAGACCCCGCCCCTGGCCCGAGTAACCCCGCCCCCGGCCCGAGACCCCGCCCCTGGCCCGAGTAACCCCGCCCCCGGCCCGAGACCCCACCCCTGGCCCGAGTAACCCCGCCCCCGGCCCGAGACCCCGCCCCTGGCCCGAGTAACCCCGCCCCCGGCCCGAGACCCCGCCCCTGGCCCGAGTAACCCCGCCCCCAGCCCGAGACCCCGCCCCCGGCCCGAGACCTCGCCCCGGCCGGAGTAACCCCGCCCCCGGCCCGAGACCCCGCCCCTGGCCTGAGTAACCCCGCCCCCGGCCCGAGTAACCCCGCCCCCGGCCCGAGACCCCGCCCCCGGCCCGAGTAACCCCGCCCCCAGCCCGAGACCCCGCCCCCGGCCCGAGTAACCCCGCCCCCGGCCCGAGACCCCGCCCCTGGCCTGAGTAACCCCGCCCCCGGCCCGAGACCCCGCCCTGGTCCGAGTAACCCCGCCCCCGGCCCAAGACCACACCCCGGCCCGAGTAACCCCGCCCCCGGCCCGAGACCCCGCCCCTGGCCCGAGTAACCCCGCCCCCGGCCCGAGACCCCGCCCCTGGCCCGAGTAGCCCCGCCCCCGGCCCGAGACCCCGCCCCGGCCCGAGTAACCCCGCCCCTGGCCCGAGTAACCCCGCCCCCGGCCCGAGTAACCCCGCCCCCGGACCGAGACCCCGCCCCCGGCCCGAGACCCCGCCCCTGGCCCGAGTAACCCCGCCCCCGGCCCGAGACCCCGCCCCCGGCCCGAGTAACCCCGCCCCCAGCCCGAGACCCCGCCCCCTGTCCGAGACCCCGCCCCCGGCCCGAGTAACCCCGCCCCTGGCCCGAGTAACCCCGCCCCCAGCCCGAGACCCCGCCCCGGCCCGAGTAACCCCGCCCCCGGCCCGAGACCCCGCCCCCGGCCCGAGCAACCCCGCCCCCGGCCCGAGACCTCGCCCCCGGCCCGAGTAACCCCGCCCCCGGCCCGAGTAACCCCGCCCCCGGCCCGAGACCCCGCCCCCAGCCAAGCTCTCCGAGCCCTCCCACCCTGGCTTCTTCCCACCCCCAGTCTAATCCTTCTGTAACGGTCCCGCCTTCCTCAGATCAGGGTTTGGGGAGGGGGTTTTGTTTTGTGTTTTGTGTCGTGCTCCTCCCGGCTCTGCACTCAGGGCTCGCTCCTGGCGGGCCTGGGGGAGCACCGTAAAGGGTACCTGGGAACAAACCCGGGTGGACTGCATGGAAGCAAGTGCTCTCCCCACCGTATTGTTTAGACTTTGGGGACAATAAGACTATCCCCCACAATGCTGTTGCGCTCCCCTGAGACTGTCAGGGCCCACGCGGGGCTGGTCATCTCCCACCACCATTTCCTGTCCCCCGAGGGGCTCCTCCCTCACCTCCTCCAGGGAGACTCCTGTTGATTGCAGTCTTCCTGCGCCCTCCCGGCCAGCACAGGTGTGCCGGTTCCCCGCTCCCCGTGCCCAGATGGCACAGAGGGTTCCACCTGTGGTCCTGGCACTGAGTGCCCCTAGCGCCAGACTCTGCCCTCCCCGGGGTCCACAGGGCCCCCAAAGTGCCTCACTGCTGCCGGTGGCTCTCACAGGGCCCAGGAGACCTTCATGCAGTGGGACCAGTGCCGGCGCTTCTACAACTTCCTCATGGCCGACAACATGAAGAAGATAATCCTGTCCCACAGGTAAGTGCCCCAGGGGCAGCGGGTGTGCCCCCTGTCCCAGCTCACGGCCCTGAGGCTCTGTCCCCCACAGGCAGGCCCTGTTCGGAGACCACGTGAGGAAACCCCAGAGCCTGGAGGACACGGACCTGAGCCGCCTGTACACGGCCACGTCTCTGATGCAGATCGATGACAACTTGATGAGGTGGGCCATGTCGGGGGCCCCACGGCTCCTCACACCGTGCTCAGGCTCTGGGCCCTTCTGTGTCTTTTCGTTTGTTTTGGGGCCACACCCAGTGGTGCTCGGAGATCACTCCTGACTGGTCTTGGGGCGCCCTATGGGGTACCGGGGATTGAACCCGGGTCAGCAAGGCCAGCGCCCTCCCCTCTGTCTGATCCCTCCGTCCCCCATCTGTGTCTCTTTTGTTTGCTTGCTCACTTGCTTTTGGGACCACTCCCAGTGGTGCTCGGGGGCCAGGGATGAGGCAGCACTGGGCCTCAAACCCGACCCCTTGCGTGCACAGCCAGCTCTCAGCCCCCTAACTCCCTCTGTGCAGCCTGGAGTCCAGTGCTTCCCAGGAGGATATGAACTTCTCTCTTTTTTTTTTCCTTTTAATTTTTTTTACTGAATCACAGAGATTCAGCCTTTATTGAATCAAAGTTGTTCATGATAGGGCTTCAGTCATACAGTGTTCCAACACCTGTCCCTTCACTAGCACACATTTCCCGGCACCAATGTCCCCAATTCCCCTCCGATAATCCCCCACCCCCAGCCTGCTTCTGTGGCAAGCACTTTTCTTCTCTCTCTCTGTCTCTCTGTCTCTCTGTCTCTCTCTCTCTCTCTCTCTCTTTCTCTCTCTCTCTCTCTTTCTCTCTCCCTCTCCTCCTCCCCTCCCTTTTGGGCGTTATGGTTTGTAATAGATACTGAATGGTTATCATTTCACCTACCTTTTATCACTCAGTTCTTGTCCAGAGCGATCATTCTAACTGTATCGTCCCTTCTCTGTCCTAACTGTCCTCTGCCCCCTTCTCGCCACTTTTGGCAAGCTTCATTGACCCGTTCTCTCGGCCCCCTTACTTGCTTCTCTTGTTGCTTGGACACTCAGAAGCCGATGACGCCATCAGATGTCTGAGCAGAGCTCTCTGATGCTGGTCTTGGCGTCCATAGCCCCGGGGCCATGCTCCTTGTCACTTGTGACTTGGGGCCACGCTCCTTGTCACACCCTCTGTCCCGGTGTCAACTTTCCCTTTAGCACAGAAGGCCCTGGTGTCCCCATCATCTTTCCTTCTGGAAAACTCCATCGTCGGGGCACAGAGACGGTAGACCAGACTGATGTGCAGTCTCAGCGTGTGAGAGGCTGCACCCCCAACCCCCCAGCACCACCACACGGGGCCCCAAAACAAAACAGACAAAGCCCCACCCTCTGCAGGCCAGGCAGTTGCCCCCATGGGTCTCTGTCCTCGGCACCCTGTGCCCCTGCCCAGCACTGCCCAGACGGTCCCAGCACCAGAAAGTCACTCTTGAATTCCATGATCTTCAGGCACATGCCAGGTTCTGGGGTTCAACCCGGAGCCAAACTCCAGTCCCCCTCCTTTCCTGGGACCCAGAACTCCCAGGAAGGAGAAACCGGAAGTGGCCAGTCTGTCCAGATGCATCTGACAGCCACATCCTAGTGGGCACAGAAGTCAGAGACTGAATGTCCCTTGGACCTTAGAGGAAGGTTCCAGGCCGAGCTCCACTCTGCAGTAGCTCAGAAAGCTTGTCCCTCTGTCTGCCCAAGTTTCCATGATCAGCAAGTGGCCAAGCCATGACTTGAGCACCCCCACAAGCCGGGTGCTCCCATGCTCACCTGGCCCCCCTCTCCCATGCCGCAGGAAGTTTCACGGCTACTCATCCCTGAAGGAGTATTACGAGGAGGAAAGCTGCATGAGGTACCTCCACAGGGTGAGTGTCCATCTGCTCCTGGGGCAGCCCCCAGGAATCTCTGGCCCCGGTCTCCCTCCTGGCCAGAACGGGTTCCCTGGGTGCCGTGCCTTCTAGTCCTTCCACCTACGGCCCCACGGCTGTGGCACTGGAATCCCTGCCCTGGGGGGCATGCAGAAGGTAGTGCCCCTTCCCTCCCTGTAAAGCATCTACTGGGCACAGAGCCTCGCTGCCTTGAATCCTGGGCCCGACGGAGGCCCCGGGGCCTGACTGACCCCTGTCCTTGCTGCAGATCTTCGTGCCTCTCATGCTGGTGAACGCTGCCGATGACCCTCTGGTTCATGAAAGCCTCCTGAGCATTCCAAAGTCGCTGTCGGGTAAGCTCTGCGTGGCTCACAGCTTGGGCAGGGCTTGCGCTGGTCCCGTGTCCACTGCCCTGACAGGCCAGAACTAGTGCACTGAGACCCCTAGCCGGGAGGCAGCGTACGCGTATGTAGGGGTATCTGGGGAGATTTCCGAGTGTGCTTGGACTTAGCGTCTCGGCCATTAAGCATCTGCTGTGGTGTGGATCCTTGGCCCAGGCTGGGGGCGAGGCTCTGTGGCAGGTCCTGAACTCGTGCCCCAGAGAGAGAGAAGCTTAACCTATGGACTGGGGCGGCAGCTTAGAGGCTGGGAGCACGCATGGGGTCGCACAAGGGATTCCCTAGGTTCAGTCCCTGCCAAGCACTGCCTGAGGCAGCAACAAAAGCACTTAGGAAAAAAGACACCCCAGAACAAAGGCGTTGCATCCCCCATTGGCTGTCCCCATGAAAGACAGCCTCCCTGTGTGCTCTGAGCACAGTAAAAGCAGCAAGTGATAAGCAAGGTGGTGATAGCCCGCTCGGGCATGGTTTGTGCTCTGGGTGCCCTTGGTGAGCACCAAAGGAGGATCTCAGAGGAGGTGGCAGGAGGGGCCCAGCCGCCCCGTTTCATGCAGGGCGTATGTGAAGTCTCTGGCCCAATCCTCTCGTGAATGCCATGTGTTAACCAGAGGGCCAAGGCATGCCTGGGCTCTGGGACCCCACTCCTCCGTGCTTTTGTGAGCCGCATGTGTGTGTTGTAGGTGCAGATGCTCCCTCCTGTCACACCCCTCCTCAGTGCTCACTCAAAGCAGCTGCCGTGCATGGCACAGGGCTCTGTTGGCTTCTGTACGGCAACTGTCATTCTCTCAGTGCCAGTGTGGTCGCCCCTGAAACTTTCTGGAAGAGCAGCAGTAGGCCGGGGTGGGCGGGGCCGTGCGTGTCGGAGGTCACACTTGCAGTGGATCTCTGCTAACCTGGGAGGGCCAGACCCTCACGGTGTCCCCTGGAGTCAGGCTCTGGATTAGCGGATCTCGGGCAAGCCCCGGAGTCCAGATTGCCCCTGAGAATGCTCTCGGGACCATCCTTCACGTCACCCAGCTTTTATAGAGACCCATGCCTGGGGCGGGAGATTCTGAACCCCACTGAGCTGGCCCTGGCCTCTAGCCTCCCGCCCTGGCCCCCAGGGGAAAGGTCAGGAATGCAGGTTCAGCTGGCCCCGCTTGGGTCCCAGTGTGTGGCCCAGATAAGTTCAGGGTCAGGGTGCACAATGAGGACTGGGCAAGCCGCCCTCGCCGACTCTGTGAGGATCCTGCTTGAGTCAGTCCAGGGGCTTCCCAGGAGGACCCAGGGAAGTGACCGAGCAGGAGGGCAGGATGCTGGGCCCCCTTCCCGGTGTCACCCCGAACAGCAAACTCAGCCTGCTCCCTGTCCCCTGCAGAGAAGCGGGAGAACGTCATGTTCGTGCTGCCCCTGCACGGCGGCCACCTGGGCTTCTTCGAGGGCTCCGTGCTCTTCCCTGAGCCCCTGACCTGGATGGACAAACTGCTGGTAGAGTACGCCGATGCCATCTGCCAGTGGGAGCGCAGCAAGTCACAGTGCTCCGATACGGAGTCAGTGGAGGCTGACCTGGAGTGAGGCTGCGCCCCCCCCCCCCCCAGGAGCGCCCCGTCGGTCTCTGCACAGGACAGGGTCTTCCTACTGCATTGGCTTCGGGGACAGGCAAGAGGGCCCCGGTCTTGGCTGCCCTTTTAAACCAATCACACAGTCACATCTAGTTTCCCTATTAAAAAAAAAATTCTTGACAGCGGTTTTGCTTTGCCAGTCCTAAGGCTCTGCCCAGGGAAGGAGAAGGCCGGGACTCCGTGGGCCGTGCCTGCCTAGACCCTGACAGCCAGAGGCTAGTCCTCCAGCCCCCTGCCCACTCCCGGAGAATTCCCTGGAGCCCCAGCCAAGCTTTAGAGGGGCTTCCCGCACCCTGCTGTGGATCAGAATCGCCAAGGCTTGTTCAAAACCCAGCCTCCCTCCAGAGTGGTCCCTGCCCCTCACCTTGACGGGCGGGGGTAAAGGGAGACCCGGGGAATTCCAGTTTTTCACATGGCAGTTCTCCTACCAGGCACATGGGAGAGGCCATCCTGCAAGGCCACCGAATGGGGCACCCTGGCAGAGAGCGCCAAGACCCGACTTCTGATTGGGTCCCGCTCTAGGTCTCGGGAAAGGCCCGGGCACTGGTCACCTACAAGGGGATGGGTGTGGGGGCCTAGACAGCTGAGGCCGCTGAGGTACAATGACAAGCTCAGGATATTCCTGGGCGTGCTTCTCCCCGTCCACACCTGCCCTCCTCCATTTATCGGTGCCCCTCAGTTCCTAGGAAGGGGTCTGCCGCTTTCGTCAAATCAGTCAGTGGCAACTTGACGGCCTGTAACCCGAGGTCTGCGTCACTCTGGCCCTGGGTAACCAGACAGCTGGGAAGTCCGGCCTCGGGCGACAGCCTTTTCTCACCCAGGGGGTCCTCCCTGCACCGCAGTCTGCCGTGTGGGTCTCTGGGAGCAGTTCCGCAGCCCTGGAGATGAGCACTCCCCACGTGGCTCTCCGTGGTGCCCATCCCCATGCTCGGACCTTTAAACACCTGCTCTTCGAAAGTCTCAGCATGCTCTGGGACTGTCGCCGGACGCAAGTGCAATGAAGGGAGACCCGGAAAAGAATGTGGCCTGCGGGCTCCTTGGCCCCGGGACAGAGGGGAGAAGAAACCAACCGTGGGTCTCTGCATGTCGTGTGTGTGTGTGTGTGTGTGTGTGTGTGTGTGTGTGTGTGTGTTGGGGGGGACTTGGAGTGCATGTAGAGGTACAAGGGAGCACCCCCTCCCCACCCCGGCTTAGGCGCTGGCCCCGGGCTTGCGACAGAGCCGCCTGCCACCTGGACCTGCTCTCTGACAATCGCTGCGTTGTCTCAAGGCACAGCGTGGCCCCGAAAGACTTGAGGCTCGCGGGACTCGGCCAGGCTCGGCCATCCTTTCTCCGTGCTCTCCGCTTTGCTGGGGCCGCTGTCTCCCCGCGTTTCCTCGCCCTGGTCTCCGAGGGCAGAGCGGCACTTTAGCATCTGCCCCGCAAGGTGGAAGCCAGCCCCTCTCCCACCTCTCCCGTGGAGGACCCGGGGGCCGTTTTCCTGCCATGCCCTTGACTTCTCAAGCCTCAGCGACTGGACCTGCAGACCATCAACCCGGCCAGGGACCCGCCCCCCCTACTGGACACGCCTCCCGGGGCGGAGCCCTGTTGGACATGCCTCCAGGGGCAGGGCTCTGTCTTCCCTTTTTTTTTTGCCTTAGGACACAACTCAAAGGTTCCGACAAAGTGGCCCCGGGCCCCAACCTGGTGGGAGGAGAAGGCTCTGTTGATGCCCACAGTGGTGTGGGGGGAGGTTCTGGTGTAGCGTGGGGAGCCTGGTCTGCCCCGATGGGCTGAGGGAGGCTCAGGCCTTTGTTGATGTGTGGCGGGAGGGGTGGGGGAAAAGGGGGTCGGGCCTTCTCAACGGTTACTGAGTGACTAATCACCTCTCATCCGAGTCGCTTGAGTCCCACTGGAGCCCTTTGTCAAGCCTCAGCGCCCTCCCAGGCACGGAAGTGAAGCTGGGACTGTGGCCAGCCCAGACCGGAAATGCTTTTTGGTCCCTGGATGAAAGCCCGGAGGCCAGCCTTTCCTCCTGCCTGCCTCCTCCTGGCCAGGCGCCTTCCGGGCAAAAACCAGGCCCATCTGGTGGAAGGAAGACTATCTTCACATCTGGGGCAAGGATAAAGACGGGAGGAGGATGACGTTGCAGGAACAAGACTGATGAATGGGGATGCAGCTGGGGGCTGTTGCGCTGGCCTTGCACATTGTGGTCCCTGGCTTCGACCCCTGGCAGAGAGAGAGAGAGAGAGAAAGAGAGAGAAAACATACACCTGGTCCCTGGCTGTCCCGTCCCCCAACCCTCTGGATCATGAGCAAGTCCAAACCCCTGATGAATGCCTGGACCCCCGGAGGCTGGGAACCTCTGACATAAAACTCAGCCCTGGCTCCTGGAAGTGCCCAGATATACAGGTTGAAGTCTCCACAGGCCCCTGCCACCACCCACGGGGTGAGAGTCCTCGCTTAGACCAGCTTCGCAGAGTTCTGGCCCGGAAGCACTTCCCACTTTGTCACGCACCATCCGGAACTTTCTCTCCGTCCAGAAAGCCTTAACTTAACTCTAGATTCTCCCCCAACGGGGCGCTGGGACACATGCTCCTGCACTGCATGGATACTTGTCACGTGGCCTGCTGATGCCTGGTCAGGTTAGGACCCCCGCTCCCTGCAACTCAGAACCGCTTAGGAAGATTCTGGATGTCTCCAGAAGGCCGAGCATCCGTCTGAGCATCTGTCCAAGCAGAGGGCAGCCCCTCTGTTCTGTCGCAGGGTGGCTCTGTTCTCCGCGAATTGTTTGTGGAATGAAGGGGAAGGGAGGAAAGAAAGGCATCTTTGGAGATGAAAATGGTCGCTGCTGGGGGCTGCTGGCTCCGGAGCCCTGATGCTGAGGTTTGCTGCTGCCCTCAGATTCCCGGGCATTCCCAAAGCAGCCCCCTTTGGACAGGCCAGCCGCCCCTCCCCAAACTCCCGTTTCCTCTAAACTGTCTCTCTAGCATGTCCCTGGTAAAGCTTTCCTGTCTCGCTAACGAGTGTGCTGAAGTGTAATCTCTAACTGGTGGATCAAGTCTTTGAACTCAAGTCCTGTTGATCAGTAGCAAAATCCACGACCCCCTTTTGCTCTGCCTTCTGGCTCCCCACTAGCCAAGAAATGTATTGCCATAAGTTTGGGGATCCCTGTCCCCCTGGAGCATCTGCAGAAATACCTTTCACCCCATGGACTCTCCTTCCAGAATGTTCCTCTCTGGGGGGTGGGGGAGGAGCCCCCCACCCCGCCCCGAGACCTAGAGTAATTGCTGACCCCTGGTCCCACCACTTCTGGCCCAGACAGGGCTTTGGGGAGGCAGCTCCTGGGTGGAGGAGCTGGGGGTGCTCTTTGGTTTGCCTCGAACCCAAGTCCACATGGAGAGGAGAGCCCCCTCTCCCCCCCTCACTCCAGGTACAGATGGCCTGGGGGTCCCCTGCTGCCTCAGGAAGATCTCCACCAAACCCCCAGCTTTCCCTCTGCTGCTGCCTTAGCAACACCAGGGGAGGGGGACAGTTTGTCCCTCGTCCTTGGCGAGACTTCGGTCCACCACCTTCCTCCTCTCTGAGTAGATCCGTCCCTACCCCGGGTCCCAAGACCTGACACTTTCACATTCCTCCTTTGGGCCCCATTGCTTGGATTCCTTTTCCTGTAGACTCCCCAAAACGTCAGATGTCGCCTTGAAAATTCCTTGCTTTTTTCGAGTTTGTGTTTCGAAGGCTCCAGGCTGATGGACTTGGTGGGGAGGGGGGATTGCGGGGAGGTGGGGCAGGGGCAGGGGTCCCTCCAGCACCGGTGGAGGGTGGTCTTTAAGATTTGCAACTAGCAATGCAATTTTTTTCTAAAAGTGAGGATATATTCACCTTTGTTAAGAAATTATACTAAACAGTGCCCTTGATCATTTTTCTTCTCAGTACTTTGGGTCCTATTTTGATTCTGTGTGGTGGTAAGCAGACATCATTACAAATGAAAACTAATTTTGTTATCTTTGAGTCTATGAAATTTCTTTACTTAAATAAAGACTGAAAAATTTGGCATCATGGCTTTCCCTGCCTCTTCTTTCCCTCGGGGCTCCTGCTGGCTCCTCGCTGAAGCACGCGCGCACACACACACACACACGCACACACACACACAAGCACTGCCTGAGATATGATGCAGTTGGGAGTCTCTTGCCTGATGTGCAAGGAGTCCGTTTGGTCCCTGGCACTGCAGAGCAGATGTTCCCTCTAGTACTGCTGGGCTCTGGGAACCCTACGGGATGCCAGGGGTCAAATCCACGTTAGTGGGGGTAGTGCCCTCCCCGCTGCAGAATTCTCAAGCCCTCTCAATTCTCAAGTTTTATGTAACCCAGTTCATTGCGCAAAGGCCAGAGAAGTGACCAGCTCACGGGCTCATGAAAAGCCAGCGCCTGAGACGAGGGAGATTCCCGCCCCGGCAGTGCCTCGAAGCTGATCCTTGTGCCCTTTGGGGCACAGACGCCAACTCCTGAGAGCACACAGTGTACGTTTCCCAGCACCAGTGTCCCCAGTGCTCCAAGTGACAGGCCCCGGGATGCCTTCGTGGGCCTTGGATTTTGCTCATGAGAGTCCTGCTGACGACGGAAACAGGTGGAAGATAGTCCGAGGCTTGCGCCGTTTCCAGCTTCCCCCGGCAGGTCTGTCTCAGACCTCATGCAGCACCAGCCACTGTGTGTTCGATGATAACAGGTTGTGCAGATGCGCGCCAACACCCCCCGCCCCGCCCCGACTAAGCCTGTCATCCCCACATACACGGGTTGGCCTCCGCACACACTGGCTGCCTTTGCTGGAAATGACTCCAGGGTCAGACTGCCCACACCCGAGCTGCCTGCTGAGGCATCTCCGCAGCAGCCCAGGGCCGGTCGTGCAGCTCCGCACCTCCCATGCTGGGGTCTTTCCGTGTTTCTCATCCCGCTTTCATTCCTGAGAAACCACGGGCAGCTGGGGACTTGCAGGGCGGCGCCCCCTCAGCGAGGCCACGAAGGGCCATGCCTGGGGCGGCCAGCAGGGGGCAATGTCAACTCACGCGCCTGTCTCCTAGCTTCCACGTGACTGTTTTTTAACATTTTTATTGAACCACTGTTATATAGACCCTTACAAAGCTGCTCAGCGGTTCCTGATTGGATTTCAGTCATGCAGTGTCCCAACATCCATCCCTCCAGCAGTGGACATTTCCCAGCACCAGTGTCCCCAGGTTCCCTCCCATCACCCCCCACTCCTCATCCCCCGCCTGCCTCTATGGCAGGTGCTTTTCTTCTGTCTCTCTGTCTCTCTGTGTCTCTCTCTGTGTCTCTGTCTCTCTCTGTCTCTCTCTCCTTTTCTGCCCCACGGCCCCTTTCGGGCATTCTAATTTGCAATATTGATACTGAAAGTTTATCAAGAAAATCCCGTTACCTGCTTTTAACCCTCAGATCTTGTCCGGCGTGACCATTCCCAGCTAGTATTGTCATACCGGTCCCTTCTCTATCTTACCTCCCCTCAGCCCCACACACACTTGTGGTTAGATTCAACCACTGACCGGTCCTCCTAACCCCTGTTTTCCCTAGCCATGGACATTAGTCTCCTACTATATGTATATTTTTATATCAAAAATTAATGCAACATTCTATATCTGTCCCTCTCCTTCTGACTCACTTAACTCAGCATGAGCGTGATACTGTCCACATCCATCCACTTATAGGCAAATTTCATGACTTCATTTTTCCTAACAGCTGCATAGTATTCCATTGCGTAGATCTACCATAGTTTTTTTTGATCCATTCGTCTGTTTGGGGGCACTCAGGTTGTTTCCAGATTCTGGCTATGGTGAATGGTGCTACAACACCATCACTGTTTATGCCTTCATGACTTAGCATTTCCAGAATCCTGTTCTTTCTTCAGTTTGGGCTCTGTACTCTGTGGAGCTGATTCTCTATTCCCAGCTGTGGCCAGGACCAAGCAGTGCTGGGGGCTAAACCCATGTGGCTCCAGCCCGCCGCTCCTGGCCAAGGGCTTTTTTTTTTCCTTTAATTTCCAGGCCACATGGTTCATCTGTAAATTTCTTTTTGCTTTTTTTTTATATATATTGTCAAATTTCAAAAAATATTTCTAATCTCTTTATTGAAAGCAACTTTGAGCTTTGAGGGGGTCAGCCCCGGGATTCAAGCACTCAGATTACATCGCAACAGTACTGGGTTGGGGGGTGATCCCGAGTCAGAAGTGTTCAGTGCAGGAGACCCCTCGGACAAGGGAGGTGCCCACCTCCCCCTGTGTATCAGGCTCACCAAACCCAGCACCCTCAAACCACCTCACATTCATGTGTAGCCCCCCTCACCTGCCACCAGCCACCACAAAATTGCCAGGAGCCCCTCACTAGCTCTGACAGGCCCTTCTTATGTCTCCTGTTTATTGTCTGGGGGCAGCCGTCAGACCCTATATAGCCAAGTGTTGTGCTAAAGGAAGCCCTGAGAAGCCTGACTAGAATCTCGGGAATGCAGCCCTCAGTCTTCCAGGTCTGGGAGCCCCACCCCCACCCCACACCGTACTGCCCACTGCTGGGGACCAGGTGACCCCTTGGGAATTTGGGCAGGCCCCTCACCTCCCTGGGGCTAGGACGGCTGGGGAGGCAGCCGGGGTGCTGGCCCAGAAGCAGGGTGCAGGCCACGGGGTGCCCTAGAGGACCGTGTTCTCCTCTGAGGCCCTGGGCCCGAAGAGCTGCTCAGCCACTGCGCTGCCATCGTACTTGGGCAGCGTGCCCCCAAAGTCCTCTGGCAGGATGTCCTTGTCGATGTCCTGGAAGAAGCTGGACAGATCCTCTCCGTGGACAAAGACCTGCGGCGGGGGGAGGGGCAGGGCTGAGCAGGGCTGCGGCAGGGATGGGGTGGCCGGCGGGCTCCGGGGACCCTCCTTCCCTGCCCCCCAGCCCCACGCACCCGCTGGAGCAGCTTGCTCTTCAGCAGCGGCTTCACCAGGTTGTAGGTGGTGGCGAAGTACCAGGGTTGGTGGATGAAGTGGATGGCTTTGAAGCGGGCGGGGAAGGAGCCCTGTCGAACAGAGACCCCGCACAGCGCGGTGGCTCAGGGGGCACAGCCGTCTGGCCTCACCGCCCCTCTGACGGCCGTCGCCGCCCAGCCTCTCTCCAAGGTCCGGCAAAGTGGACCCCAGGATGCCCCCCGCTGGGCAAACATCTTAGCCCCCCAAGCTGCATCGGGTTGCAAACAGCCTAGTTTGAGAACAGCAGGACGTTGAGCAGTGGGAGCTCGCTGGAGGGGCTGTCAAAGAAACCCATTCCCAAGCGGGGGGCGTGGCTCCAGGCAAGGGGGCCTGGTTCTTTGCGGGGGCAGGGCTACAGGACAGGGACGGGCTCCCGATGAGGGTGGGACTACAAGATTGGGGCGGGGCTCCAGGGAAGGGGCGGGGATTCAGGCGAAGGGTGGGGCGAAAGGTTAGGGCGGGGGCTCTGGGCAGGGGTGGGGCTACATGCTAGGGGCGGGGATTCAGGCGAGGGGTGGGGCTAAAGGTTAGGGCGGAGCTCTGGGCAGGGGTGGGGCTACATGCTAGGGGCGGGGCTCTAGGGAGGGGGCGGGGATTCAGGCGAGGGGTGGGGCTAAAGGTTAGGGCGGAGCTCTGGGCAGGGGTGGGGCTACATGCTAGGGGCGGAGCTCCAGCGAGGGGGCGGGGATTCAGGCGAGGGGTGGGGCTAAAGGTTAGGGCGGAGCTCTGGGCAGGGGTGGGGCTACATGCTAGGGGCGGGGCTCCAGCGAGGGGGCGGGGATTCAGGCGAGGGGTGGGGCTAAAGGTTAGGGCGGAGCTCTGGGCAGGGGTGGGGCTACATGCTAGGGGCGGGGCTCCAGCGAGGGGGCGGGGATTCAGGCGAGGGGTGGGGCTAAAGGTTAGGGCGGGGCTCTGGGCAGGGGTGGGGCTACATGCTCGGGGCGGGGCTTCAGGTAAAGGGCGGGGCCGCTAGTCTGCCACTTAGGGCTGGGGGCGGGGTGTTTCTGGGTTCGAGGGTGCGGGCCGGCTTGTCAAAGGAGCAGGGAAGCTTGAGGAGGGTGGGTCGTGAGGGAACTCAGGTTGGCGAGGCGGCTGGTGTCCCTGCAGTGGACCCGCTGGCAGTCATTTCTCTTGATGGCCCTGCCCTTAGGTGCCGGGCTGGGCAGCTTGGGGGATACGCACCTGAAGCATGTCCACCATCTTCTTGAGGTCGGTGGTGCGCAACCCGGCCGCCTGCTGCAAGGAGAAACCCCTGAAGTTCTCCACGATGCAGAAACCATTGATCTGTGTCTCCTCATTCTCCAGAAGTTTCTCCAGGATGAAGCAGTAGGCCTGCAGGATCTGGAGCCGAGAAGACAGGCCCGTGGGAGCCCCTGCCTTACCCCCCACTGGACAGTCCAGCAGGGACCTGCGACCCCCCCTCCCCCCGCAATCAGGAAGCTGCCCTTGGTTGTCAGCTGCACCCCCACGTGAGGACATATATTAGAGCAACCAAAAATCAAGAAATGGATAAAGAAACCAGAGGCCAGAACGGGCAGGGTGTGCACAGCAGACCAGGGTTGAATCCCTGGCGTCCTATAGAGTCCCCGAGCACAGCCAGGAGTGATCCCTGAGTAATTTTTTGGGGGTCCAAAAACGAAGAAATGAAAATAAGTGAAATTATTTCTGTAGCCCTAAGCCTGGCTGCGAGCCAGCAACCATGGACCAGGGTCCATCCATGGTTCCCAGCTTCTCAACAAGGCCGGGCCCCTGCTGGTCACGCCCTGGTTTTCCTCCTGTCTGGGCAATGCTGTCGGCCCCAGTCCCCCTCAAACCTGCCTCCCAGGGGAGAGAGGAAATAGGGTCCAACAGCGGGGAGGGGAGGGGCAAGACTGACCTCATCGAAGGTGATCTCTTCACTGTCCCAGTTCTCGATGTTGAAAAGCAAGACCACCCGGCCCTCCTTGTCCCGGCTGGAGAGAACCCCGGGGTAGCCAGCCTCGATGGTGCAGCGGACAGCCTCAGGATTCAGGTTCTGGAAAAGCTCCGGATACTGCAGGCGGAACTGGACATAACCTGGTGGGCGCAGTAGAGAAGACAGGTCCTTAGGGAATGGGAACCCCCACCCCCCACCCCTACACCCCCTCTAGCCCTAACACTGGGCTTTGCAGAAACTGCTTTGCTGGAGCAGCAATTATGTTTCAACTGTCCAGCAGGAAGGACCAGCAGCTGTGGTTCCCAAACAGTGTGTGTGTGTGGGGGGGGGGGGGTCTAAACCTGCTACTTAAGTGGCCTTTTAGAGGGAAAACACCCAGAGATGTCTGCACATCTCGTTCTCTTTGTCCCAGAGCCACACCCAGACCTAATGCCTAGCCCCATCCCTAGTGGTTCAAGATATATACAAAATGGACGGCTCCAGCTGCTCCTCCTTGCTATGAAAATGTGCCTCCCCAAAGAGGCGAGAGGTGGGTTTAAGTGCTGCACCCAGTTTCCAATAAAGCCTTTTCTTCCTTCAGCCTCTCCTGGGGCCAGACCCTGGGAACTTGGTGCTGGGAGCCTCACTCGTTCGCACATGCATGCTTCCTTTACTCAACTGAAAGGGGTTACTCAGCTCAAAGCGGTCTTTTTTTGGGGCGGCGTCACCCCCAGCAGGGCTTAGGGATCTCTCCTGGTGGGGCTCTGGGGATCCTGTGTTGTGTCGGGGATCAAACCTGGGTTCATGGATCCCCATGAAAGGCAAGCAGCACCCTGCCCGCGGTACCGAGCTTCTGGCCCCTGGAAGGGGTCTTGGAGGCTCATACCTGTCTGCAGGTCAGATTTGGAGACCCGGGGAGACGGAGGGGAAGCATGGCGGGAGGAGGTGCTGAGGGTCCTGAATCCCCCAAGCTTCCACACGTGGCCAGGACTTCCCTTACCTTGGAGCAACTCATAGGCGCGGCCCACGTCGAACTTGCGTGCACGGATGAAGCGCAGGAAGGAAGCGCTGGCCCAGTCCCGCACTCTCTCAGCCACGGCCACGGCCAACTCCTGCCCTGTGGCTGCCTGCTCCTGGACCATTTCCTGCAGCGCTCGCACGGCCTCCGCCCGCTTCTCCTCCTGCTCATTCAGCTCATCCTTGGCCTGGAACGAGTGGTAGGGGCAGGACAGCCTGGGCTAAGCCCTCTGTGGGGGCAGGAGCCCACCCCACTCCCCTACATCCACCCCACCCAGACTGCCAGTGACAGCTAGAGAACATGAGGTCAAGCCTCAGGGCTGGAGGGTTGGCAGGAAATGACAGCCAAAGACTCCCGTTAACTCCCCGGAGCTTAATATCTGCTGAGCCCTTCATGGGAAGGCCCCACTCGGTGGTTCTCAGAACATACTTCTGGCTCTGTGCTTGAGGATCAGTCCTGGTGCTAGAGGGACCTTATGGGATGCCAGGGATGGAACCCGGGTCGGCCACGTGCAAGGCTTTCCCCACTGTACTATCTCTCCGCCCCCCAAGACAGACAGTCTTATCTGCACTTCTGAGATGAGTCCCCCCCCAGCCTAGAAAGAGGACATACTGCCCAGGTCACCAGTGGATGAGGGGGGAGGGGTTAGGTGCCAACAGTGCCTTTGTACTCCTGTTGGGCTTTTGAATGACTTGAATTTGCTGTGTGCTAGGATTAGACCAGAGACTGCCTGCCCCAGCTCCCCCGTTCCTCCTCCCAGCCCTGAAGCCACTCAGATTAGCTCTCTCCTTGGCCAGCATGAGGACAATGGAGCTTTGGTCCTAGCTGCAACACAGGCGCGGATAAGGAACTCCAGCCTCTCGCGGGGTTGGGGTGGTGCCTTTGGATCCTGGCGGAGCACATGTGAAGCCAAGGTGGGTTCTGCCATGGAGGCTGAGTTTCTGGCTTCTGCCCCAGGGAGCCATCTAGACATGCTTGGGGGCCTAGCCAGCTCATCCCTGCACCCCCAGAACCTCACCTTTTGCAGGGTATGGCGGGGTAGCTTGTAGCAGGGACCAAAGACAGGCCCATGGTCCTTGGGGCTAAGCCGCTCCAGCTGGGCTCGAAGTTCCCGTTCTTCCTCGGGAATCACACGGAACAGGCCCATCTAGGAAGGGAGCGACCGAGGGAGAGGGTGGTCACAGACCACAGAGAGCCCATAGGAATTTCTCCTCCCCCAGAAGGTTCAGAGGGTGGAGGAGCGTGGAGGGAGAGTGGGAAGGTGGGTGGAGGAGGCTGCCCCAGGCATCGGACACTTACCTCCTCGGCCATGCTCTGGTCCACGGGAAATGGGCTCTGGGCGCCCCGTCTTTTTCGTCCCTGTGGGCAGTCTTTTCCCTGGGGTCAGAGAAACTGTCTGTTGTTACCTGCAAACACCAGAATCACCTGCGAGAAATGCAGGTTCACCACCGCTGGGCTTCGGACCAGGGAAGGCTGGGCAGGGCCCAGGGAACCTGTGCTCTCAAATAGCCACCTCTGAGAGGGCGCAGACCATGCACGCAATTGACCCAGAAGGACATGTGTGTGAACACGTGTCTGCTCTCTCCAAGATGGTTCCAAGAAGAGACTGTATAGTCTCTTGTCTCGCCTCCTCTGTTGTCAGAATACGAGACGTGACACACACACAGTGGCCACAATTTCTGTTCTTTTGGGGGCCGCGCCTGGCTGTACTCAGGTATCATTCCCAGCGGGACTCCGGGACAGAGCAGTGGGGTGGGGGCACCCCCGCGAAGAGCTTGTGCCCAGCCCTCGGAGCCATCACCCCAGCCTCACCTCACTCCTTAGGAAGAGTCGGCCCAGCCAGGAAGCCCAAGAATGAATCTCCATTCTGTTAGACCTGATGGGCTGCCCCCCACAGGGGACCCTTCCTCCACCACCCCAGCCTGGTGGAACACCCCGCCCTTCCTTAGTGCCCCGTTCTCAGGAGGGACCTGTCACAATCCCCAGCCCGTGTTCTGAGCTCTGTGATGCATTGGGCATTTTCAAACTTATCCTCAGAGTGGGGCTGGGACAATAGGGTACCCGGCCAACCCAGGTTGGTTCCCCAGCACCCCATACGGCCCCCTGAGCACTGCCAGGAGTGATTCCTGAGAGCAGAGTGAGGAGCAAGCCCTGAGCACTGAGAGTCCAGGAACAATTCTTTGCTTCCCAGATTTTTCCATTCTCTCCATCCCACCCTGGACCTTGCAGCTGGTCCTGGGTCTGACTCACCTCCCAGGTTCCACAGCTCTTCCTGGGGTCCAGCCGGTGCTACGACCTGCCTCACGGAGCTGCCAGCCGCTTTGGCCAGGGTGCAGTCCCCTCAGCAGGCTGAGATTACTGAGTCATGAGGAACTTCTCAGCCCTCTCCCCCTCCACCTCCGTTTCCCATGAAATCGGGCTCCCTGGGAGGCCCTGACAGGGGGGTGAACAAGCATGAGGGGGTGGGGGGGGCAATCAGCCGGGAGCCTCACAGTGCTCCTTTGTGTGTGTCCCCTGCCCGCTCCGGGCTCCGGAGAGCCCTGCTCAGCCATGTGGAAGCTGGGCACTGGGCCAGCGCTGTACTCTCCTCTCTGGCCCCTGCCTCAACCACAGAAGGGTTGGAGCGAGTCACTCCCACCCAGGGGACAGACCAAAGGAAGTCACATAGACCAGTTCTTGCCTGGCGATGCCCGGGCAGGATGCTGGCAACCCAGGGCACTCTCCACAATGTCACCCCCAAAGAGTTCCTGACCCTCTGGCTGTGGTCCGTTTTTGTGGGCCACATCCGGTGGTGCTCAGGGCCTGTTCCTGGCTCTGCTCTCAGGGTTTTCTCCCGGCAGGGCTCAGGGAGTTATACTTCAATGGCCCAGATCAAACTCAGGTCAACCATGTGCCAGGCAAGCACCCTCCCTGCTGTAATTCCTGAATGCAGAGCCAGGAGTAACCCCTGAGTATTGCTGGTTGCAACCCCAAAAAACGGGAAAAAAAGCTGAATGAGATAAATAAGGTCATTCTCCGCCCCCTTCCAGTGTGGCTGGTGTCCTTGGAAGAAGGGGGCATTTGGGCCCAGAAGGGGAAACACGGGTCCAGGCAGGTGGAGAGGGCAGATGACTTATGTCGGAGGAAGCCAGGGGGAGGAGACACCATCTATTCCTTTGATTCCCCTGAACCTCGGGAAACATGAGAAAGTGAATTTGCCTTTGTTGAAACTGCTCCATCTGCAGAAGTCGTCCACCTGTTAGGACACCAGGCCCAGGGTGGGAAACGTGTGAGACAGAACATGGAGTTAAAACTGGGCTGTCCCACGGGAAGAACCTCAAAGGTCCCAGCTGAGGTTAGTCGAGTCAGGAATGATTCCGTGGAACCAGAGTGAGAGCCTTGGAGCTGCAGAGGCCTGGCGTTCTCCAGGGCCTAGCCAGGTGTGTTTTGGGGGGCCCGGCTTCCAAGGGCATTACACCTACACACAGCCCACCCCCTGCCTCTTGTCCTCATGTCCTCCGGACTCCAGTTTATGTCTGCTCCTGTAGGGCCACTGGAAAAGGAAGGAGCTGCGCTGTCCTTGTTGCAGTAGTAATCAGAGGTGGAGCTTTTGCACTGGGGCATCCAGTGTGTCCGGGGAAAGGTGCTGCCGTCCAGCTCCTAGCCTCATAGTCCCAGCAGCCAGCTGTCTCGCTTCCCTGGTGGTGGGGAGTTAAGAGCCGAGTTCCCCTTCGAGGGCTCCTGTTTCTTCTGTGACAGAGAAGTCCCTCCCATTCCCTCGCAGGGAGAAGGGCATCAGAGGTTGGGCGGTGAGACCAGGACTCCAGCCCTTAACCTACTGTATGTCTTCAAGCACACCCCTTCCAAAAGTCTTCACATCTGGATGGCCTGGCTGAGGTCCCGCCTGCCCCAGGGCAGCAGGAGGATGCAGTCCATCCCAGGACACTGACCACGTCTGATACACGCGTCAGGGGCAGCTCCTTCCTCTTTCAGTGGTCCTACAGGAGCAGACATAAACTGGAGTCCGGAGGGCACGAGGATGAGGGGCCGGGGGTGGGCTGTTTGTAGGTGTAATGCCCTTGGAAGCCCGGCTCCCCAAAACACACCTGGCTAGCACCCTGGAGAGCGCCAGGCCCCTGGCGCGTGTATCAGACGTGGTCAGTGTCCTGGGATGGACTACACTCAGAAATCACTCCTGGTGGTGCTCAGGGATCCTATGATCCTATGGAATGTCGAGGGTCAAACCTGGGTTGGCTGCCTGCAGAGCAAGCACTTTACCTGCTGTATTATCCAGCCTCTACTTTTCCTTTCTGTTTTAAAAGAAGAGACCTTCTCAGGTCCCCAAAGAAGAATAGAAAGAGCTATGCTTGGAATATCACGTTTCACTCAAATGAGAGAAAGAATCCAGAGTTCCGACATCCGTCAACGATCAAGAATCAGGGACGCTGTCTCATTTGCCAAGGTGTCAAAAATCAGATGGGCTGGTCACGTAATGAGATTTAAAGATGACCGCTGGACTAGAGCTGTTACCGACTGGATTCCACGGGATGTCGAAAGACTGCGTGGCTGCCCACCTACCAGATGGTCAGACTTCTTCGTCAAGATCATGAACGATCGGTTTGAGGCCCTTCATGTTCCCGGAGCGAAGAGATGCCACTGGGCTACACTAGCACGCAGCAGGGACAGATGGAGACGTTACTGGCGCCCGCTCGAGCAAATCGACGACTAACGGGAAGTTAAGTGATTAAGTGATTTAAAAGAAGAAGTAATGGTATTAATAGTGGGAAAAGATGTGCTAGCCACGAGTTGAATGTTCACGTTTCCTCAGTGCATGCACTGGAGCCCTGGCCCAATGCAGTGGTGTTGGGTGGGGTCTGGGGAGCTGACTGGGCCCCCAGGAATCCTTACACAGGAGGAAGGACACAAACGAGAAGGTGATGAGGCAAGGCCCTCACCAGCCCCTGATCACGCTGACCCCAGATCTAGAATGTCTAGACAGGGGACTGCGAGACACTGGGGAGAAGAGAAAAAGTGCAGGAGGTGGGCCATGCTGTTGCTGCAGGGTGCGCCCAACACTGAACCTCCTCCCCCCAGGGTAAAATGTGCCCGTGGGAAAGCAATGCAGGGAGCTATGAAAAATGATAGAAAGGTTCGGTGGTAAGCTTGAGGTTATCTGCTGAGATAGGACCAGGATTAGGGAAGGCGCTTGCTTTGAGTCCCCAGACCCTATCAGGAGTCATTCCGAAACAAAAACCAGGAGTAAGCTTTAAGCACCCCCGGGTGTGCCTCCCGGAAAAAAAAAAAGAAACAGGAATGTTTAAAATTTTTCTTCTTGGGGCTGGAGTGTTAGCTCAGCGGGTAGGGCGTTTGCCTTGCATGTGGCCGACCGAGTTCAATTCCCAGCATCCCATATGGTCCCCTGAGCACCGCCAGGGGTAGTTCTTGAGTGCAGACCCAGGAGCAGCCCCTGTGCATTGCCGGGTATGACCCAAAAAGAAAAAAAAAATATTTTTCTTCTTGGTACCCATCCCGCCAGGCTGCAGGAGAGCGCGCAGCTGGGGTGGGCGGAGCCTGTTGCTACGGACTGTGGATGTGCGCTTGAGAGGCGGAGCCTGTTGCTACGGGCGGCCGAAGTGCGCTTGAGGGGCGGAGTCTTTTCGCGACAGGCGGCGGAAGTGAGCTGGAGGGACGGAGCCGGTTGGCTCGGGCGGTCGGAAGTGAGTTTAGGGGCAGGCCTGTTGCTAGGGCCGGTGGATGGGCGCTTGGTGGGCGGGGCCTGTTGCTACGGGTGGCGGAAGTGAGCGGAGGGGCGGAGCCTGCAATCCCGGGCTGCGGCGGCGGAAGCGCGTCGGCGTCGGGCCCAGCGCGCCTTTTTGGAGGTTCGCGGCGGCTCCGGGACGCAGGTGAGCGGGTCGCCGGGCTCCGTGCAACCCCGGGTGGTGGGCCTCGGGCCTCGGGCCCGCAGGGGGCGCAGCCGCGGGGACGAAATCGCGCGCCAGGGTTCCGACGCTGGCTGCAGCCCCCCGGGCCGCCCCGCTCCCGGCCGCGCAGGCAGCGTCCGGGGCCTTCCTCGAGCCCGGTTCCGAGTGCGCCCCCGCCGCGGCCCCGTGGGGTCGTTTCTGGGCTCCCGTGGGGTCGCCGCTTGCTGCGCGGCGTGTTGCATCCGGGGGGTCCCGAGCCGGGCGCGTCTAGCAAGTGCCCTGGCCGAGGGGTCTTCACCGGGCCCCGCCGCTTCCCGACTTCCTCATCGCCGGGAAGACCCCTCGGCCGTTCGGAGCCCCCCAAGCTCCCCACCCAAGACGGGGGGCCAGTAGAGCAAACATCCCCGCATTCCCCGTCTCCTCCTCCCGCCCCCCCCCCCCTCCCCGGTCTCGGAGTGGCCGAGAGCTCATGAAGTGCCCCCGGGTCTGGCCCTTCCAGGATACGTGCAACAAATGTTGCAATGAATGAGGCGCGCGGCCCTCCTGGAATGTAGATAATGGAGTGGGTTTAAAAAGGAAAAAAAATGGGCCGGAGCGATGGTTTGGCGGGTAGGGCGTTTGCCTTGCACGCAGCCAACCCCGGTTCGATTCCCAGCATCCCACCTGGTCATCCCCGCCCCCCCCCACCTCCGCACCGCCAGGAGTAATTCCTGAGTGCAGGCCAGGAGTGACCCCTGAGCATCACCTGGTGGGACCCAAAAAGCCAGAAAATAAATCAACAGAAAATACTGCCGGGGGGGAATGGTTTGCTTTTGAATCAGGTCTAGTAGTACTCCAGGACTCCCTATCCCCCACCCCCACCCCCCAAGCTGTGCTGGGGGCTGGGCACTTGGGGATGTGGCCACTTGAGCTGAAATCCGAAGGGTTTGTGGGAATTCCCCAGCCCCGTGCTCGGAGCCCTGTTCAAATGAAGCTTGTCTTCTTCTAGCCGGTTAGTCCCTGGAATGGTCAGTCATGGACCAGAAAATTATATCTTTAGCAGCAGAGAATTCCCAGAACCTGCAGGCATTTCTCCAAAGTCTGGAAGAAGATGAGGTGAGTGTTTGGAAGTGTGTCCTTCTGGGAGGAGAAGTCCGGTGTTTAGGAGACGATGGATTTGATAACCAGTCCTAGATGTAAAGAAATGGGGGCGACGGAGGGAAGTGGCAGTACCTCTCCGGAATAGGGATCTGGGTGGAACAGTCATATTTGGATCTAGCGTCTGGACTCAGGGGACATGAGATTTGCCTGTGTCCTTTTTTTTGTTCAAGAAAGTAAACTCAACAACACAGTGGCAGCTATCCCCTGAGCTGTGAGTCAGGTTTTTTAATTCTGCTGGTGTGGGCTAGGCAATTTCACGCTTCATCCTGGGGTTCAACAGCTGATGGAATGTGTTGTTAATCTGGAGCAGCAGAGATAGCCCAGAGATAGCAGGCTCACTACACCTTTGGTCTGCAGTGACCTCTTCCGCCGAGGGCATTGGCAGAACAACTGCTGATTTGGTGTGTGGGCATGAAGATCACCAGGAGCGAAGGATCATGAAGGGGGCGTGTCACTGGGAATTGAACACAGTTGGAAGGACCATTGGCCACAGCTGGGCTATTTGAACATTAATCAGCGATGATTGGGGACATCGGTGGTGGGAAATGTGCATTGGTGAAGGGACGGATGTTGGAACACTGTATGACTGAAACCCAATTATGGACAACTTTGTAACTGCAGCTCATAGTGATTCAATAAAAAATTAAAAAGCAAAAAAATAAAATAAAATAAAAGTAAGCTCTGACTAGTAAGTACAGAAGGGCTGGTGAGAACTTAGTGAAGACCAAAGACAAAAACCCCAAAAAATCGGCGATGAGTCAGCCTTTGCCTATGCAGGAGTCTTCAAGTGTGGATTTAAACTGAGTGATATACCATGACCATTTTCTAGTATGTGTCCTTGACACCCCTAGCGTCTCAGGAAGAGAGGATGTGCAGACACTGTTCGTGGGATGAATATTTATGCTCAAGAATGTAGCTTTGCCCCTAGTGCAGATACTGGTATGTTGCTGGCTCAGCAGCCCTCTCTGACCTCTGCTCCGTCCCTCTACACAAGGGGTGATGGTGTGAGGTGGCCTCAAGCTGACAGGAGTGGGGATTGTCTAGGCGAAATTCATCACCGCCAGAGAGGAACTTGTCACTTTTTTTTTTTAATTGTTTGATTTGGGGGCTGCACTTGGTTGTGTTGGGGTTTACTCCTGGCTCTCTGCTGAGAGATCAAACCCAGCTTGGCCTGTGCAAAGCACATGTCCTTCTGCTGTCTTGTTTCTCTTCCCCTTGCAGCTTTTTTTTGTTTTGTTTTGTTTTTGTTTTTGTTTGCAGCTGTCCTGTATTCTGAACCAGGCCTTGAAAGGGAAAGCTTTGGGAAGTCTCCTGCGAGCCATCTTCAAAGGTGGGAGTATTCATGCTTATCCCCACCCTATTATTGAATTTTTGTGAGGGCTTTCCTTACTGTGAAAAGCCCCTCTGGGACATTTCCTGTGGCTTTATTTGGGGGTCGGGGGGTCTGGTTGTAGCAGTTATTTTTCGTTCTTGGCATTACATCCGGAGCTGCTCAGGACGTATTCTCAGCTCTGTGCTCAGAGGTCCCTCCTGGCGGGCCTTGGGGGAACCATAAGTGGTGCCAGGATTTGAACCTGGGTTGGCCATGTGCAAGGCAGGAGCCTTAACCCCTGTCTGATCTCTTGGGCCCCATTACCTTTGTTCTGGAGATGCTACAGAATGAACCAGAGCAGTGACAGACAAATACTCACTGAGATTCACTGAGACACATGGTGTGGGGCCCTGAGGGATGCACTGTGAGACTCCACGTCGAGTCAGTTGTTGTTGTGCATCTGGCGAGAACAGCTGTGTTCAGGGCCCACCGTGGCTTCCAAGGGGCTGGGGCACTCGGGCGTCATGGACAGGAGCCTCTGTGCACCTTATATACATATTCCGTTTTGTTTGTTTGGGGACCACACCGAGCAATGCTCAGCCTTACTCCTGACTCTGCATTCAGGGGTTATTTCTGGTGGGACTCAGGAGGCACATGAGGTGCTGGGGAGTGAACCAGGGTTGGTCCCGAGCTAGGCAGTTGCCCCTGGCTGTCCTATTGCTCCTGGCTACCGGGAGTGCCTTGGGGACAGAGAGTCGCACAGGGCCGTGGGCCTCGTGTCCCCGTCAGAAGGTGTGAGCTGCCGGTCAGCAGCGTACCTGTGGGACTGGGGGGCTGGGGGTGCGGTGGGGGCCTGCTTTCTCCTGGCCCCTCCACCCCGTCTCCGTGTACGAAGTTCTCCTGGGCCCTCTGTGCCTGTGGTCCCTGCCCCCAAACCAGGCTCCCCCTGCTCGGAGGATGCGGGCGCTCTCCGACGCCGGAAGATATACAGCAGCTGCCTGCAGTTGGTGGAGTGCGGGGACATGCAGAGAGATGTCGCCTCCGAGGTGGTCGGGCTGCTGATGCTGGAGGTGAGTAGGAGGGTCTGTGACTCGAGGGTGCAGCCTTGTCTCTCGGCACTCTACTCTATGGTTGTTGGGTGGCGGTGGCGGTGGGGAACACACCCAGCAGTGCTCGGGGCTTCCTCGTGGCTCTGCACTTGGGTCACTCCTGGCAGGGATCGAGGGGCCTAACAGGATACCAGGGATCGAACCCGGGTCAGCCACGTGCAAGGCCAACACTCCCCGCTGTCCCATCGCTCCGGCCCTGGGTTCTAGTCTCTCGAGGGAGGAAACGAGCACCCGCTGTGGCCATCTCTGTTTTCCCTCGGGCCTTGTCTGGCACAGGCGTCTCCTGGGGCGGTCGCTGGGAGGGACTCGGAGCCCGTGTTGGAGCAGAGTTGAGCCCGTGCATCCGTCCTGGACCAGCTTTGGGCCCGATGGCGTTTCCAGCCGTCTTCCTGTGTCTCAGACGGGGGTGCTGGGCGCTTAGGCGCCTCCGTGACGTCTCCTGCGTGGCGGGACCCTGCAGGCACATCACTTCTCGGGGGCGTACTTGGTGGAGCTGGTCCAGGAGTTCATCGATGCTCTCAGAGGAGACAACCTGCAGAACGGCACGTCCCTGGAGCTGCTGCCTGTGCTCCTCACTGCCCTGGCCACCAGGACTGAGAAGATCGCTATGGACAAAGGTCCTTTCTCCCCTTCCGTCACGCTTTCCTTTTCCCCCATGTGCTTGCATGTGCTCATCCAGGTTTTTGGCGTGACTAGGTGAGCTGAGCGGGGCCGAGTGCAAGAAGCAGCTTATCAGCAGCCTCTGTGCTGGCAGGTGGGTGTCCGGGGTCCAGCCGCTGGAGGGACGGGAAGTCATCGCCAACTCTTCTAGTCCCTTGTTCAGGATGTCCGGAGCCCTCGGACAGTGGGGAGGGCGCTTGCCTTGCCCATGACCAACCTTGGTCCATCCCCAGCACCCTATAGGGCTCCCAGCACTCCCAGGCGTGATTCCTGAGCACAGAGCCAGGAATCAGCCCTGAGCACTGCCAGTGTGGCCCAAACACCAAAAAAAGAAAAATACTGTTGCCTAGTGGTGCTAAATAGAACTTGAAATGGTTCGATACATTTATCTTTCCTGAAATAATAGATAAACGAGGTCCACATCGCTTTCATCGTTGTTGTTTCGTTTAAGCAGGTGGAGTGGCTATCACACGATCCAGCTCATCTCTATGTTCAAGTAAGCGCCTCGCCCCCCTTTCCTGTCCTGTGTCCCGAGTTACTGGAAACGGAAGCCGGGCACTCGGGTCCTGCTTGCTCCCAGAGCAGTGCTTGGGAGCCACCGCAGCCCATCAGAGGGTCCCCCTGGCTCTCTGACTTGGGGTGTTCCTCCCCCCGAGAAAGCGTTGCTTGGAGCATGGCTGTCGGCCTGCCTTCGGGGTGTCCACTAGAGAGAAAGCCAATGGGGACTCAGAACGGTCCGATTCCCGGGCTGGCCCCGCTCGGCCTTCAGACTGTCGGGTCCGCAGGGACGTCCCTCTGACGGAGGAAGAGTTGGACTTTGTGGTCGGGAAGGCGTTGAAGATGTTCTCGGAAATGAAGCTCCAGGAAGTCCCGCCTCTGGTGTACCAGCTCCTGCTGCTCACCGTGAAGGTATGGCCGGTGTGCAGGGACGCTGCGTGTGTGGGGCACCGCGTGTGCGTGTGTGGAAAACCGCGCGTGTGTGTCCAGGACACCATGTTGCGGGATGCCACGTGTGTCTGTGGGGCACCGTGTGTCCACGTGTGTGGGACACTGCGTGTGCGTGTGCAGGACGCTGCATGTGAGTGCGCATGTGTGTGACACCACACGTGCATGTGCGGGACACCACCTGTGTGTATGTGTGTTTGTGTGTGCACGTGTGTGCACATGTAGTGCCCCACAGCTGGCTCTGCTCTGGTTTGTCGTGCAAGTCCGGTCTCAGCACAAAATTGTCCTGTTGGGGAAGATAAAAGAACGAAAATGTTGTGTGCAGGGACATGATTTGAACTGACTTCCCGTTTCCTCACCAACCCTGCTTCACGCCTGAAAGAGCCGTGGCATCCAGAGTCCTCCTGGGGCAACCTCCACCCCTTCTGTATTTCAGGGAAGCAAAAAGAGGGTTCTGGAAGGGATCATCGCTTTCTTCGACGAGCTCGATTGGCAGCACAAGGAGGACCCAAACAGTGACGAGTGAGTGGTGGCAGGGTGCAGAAGTGACATAGTCTGGCACGTTTGTCCCGTCTCTCCGTTCGAGCCTCTTTGGGTTCTTTTGTTCTGTCTTGTTTCGTGTGGCATCAGTAACTTGCGATGCTCAGGGTTTCCTTTGGCTCTGTGCTTAGGGATCACTTCTGGCTGTGCTCAGGGGACCATGTGGGATGCTGGGAAGCAGACCTGGGTCGGCCACACGCAAGGCAAGTGCCCTGCTCGCTGTGCCATCGCCCCAGCCCGAGTCACTTTGTTCTTGGCCCCGTAGCCCTTCCCCGCCCTGCCCCTCTCGCGCCCCGTCTTTCCTCTGTACCTCTTTAAGCCGATGGCTGTGAGACCATCCCCGCCGGTGCTCATGTGGGCTTGCTCTGGCGTGAGCTGCGGCCTGAGCACACCGTTGCCTCTTGCAGGCTCCTGGACGTCGTCACCCCTGTGCCAACCGGTGAGCTTCACCATGTGGAGGGCACCGTCATCCTGCACATCGTCTTTGCCATCAAGCTGGATGCGGACCTCGGCAGAGAACTCCTGAAGCTGCTGAAGGTTGACTCTGGCTTCTCAGGCTACCCCCAGACCCCGAGACCAGCACCGCCGACCTCGCGCCCTCCCCCTCCCCCAGGCAGAGCTCAGGGACCAAGAGCTGCTCCTGGCAGGACTCCGTTGGATGTTGCACTGCACAGGCAGTGGGGTGGGAGGGCCACGGGGCTGCCCAGTGCTGCATGAGAGACCACACCATGCTGGGGACCAAACCCAGGCCGTGGATTTTTTGGGGGGACCACACTTAGCTGTGTTTGTGTCTTACTCCTGGCTGTGTGCTCAGGGCTCGGGACCGTATGTGGGGCCAGGGGTCAAACGCAGGTTGGCCGCATGCAGGACAAGTGCCTTATCCTGTCCCATCAGAGCCCCCCAGCTCAGCCTTCTTTTGTCATTTTACCTGTTTTTTTAAATTTGTTTCATTTTGGGGCCACAGCCAGCAGTGCTCAGGGGTTCCTCCTGGCTCTGCAGTCAGGAATCCCTCCTGGTGGTTCTCAGGGGACCGTAAGGGGTGCCGGGGATGGAGCCCGGGTCAGCCTGTGCAAGGCGAGTGTCCTGCCTGCTCCAGCCCTGCAGCCCAGTTTTCCCAGTGATCTCTTCGGAAGCTCAGAAGTTCTCGCTCTTTCGAAGTCCAGTCTCAGTTGTTTCTCAAATACAGATGATGGTTTTGGTGCTGCAGCTGAGACGTATTCGCGTAAGGTCTGGGAGGCTCGCTCCTGGACAAGCGCTGTGGTCTTCTCAGTTGAAGTTGTCCCTGGCACGGCTGGAGACGAGCGGTGACGGGTCTCTCTGTGCCGTAGGCGGGGCAGCGTGGGGACGGCAGCAACTCCCTGTGCGCCTTCAGCATCGCCCTCCTGCTCTCGGTCGCTCGCATCCAGAGGTTCGAGGAGCAGGTTTGTGGTCGCTTCTTCTGTGATGGGTGCGGGGGAGACGGAGGGGGCCCTGGCGTGGGTTTCTTTCTCAGTCAGTTTTCCCAAAGCATGCATGTATACGTGCATGCGTGTGTGTATGCTTATAACGTGTGTGAGTGCACATGTGAGTATGGGTATGTGCACTCTGTCCATGGATGTGTGCGTGCGTGCCCGTATGTATATGTGCATGCTTGTGAGTGTAGTCAGTGCTCATGTGTATGTGTGTGTATGAATGTATGTGTGTGCCTACACGTGTGTGTGTGCACGTGCTTGTATGTGGGTGAGTGCACACCTGTTATGTGGATGTGTGCTTGTACATGTATATAAGGGTGAGTACATGTTCGCGTGGGTGTATGTGTGCGTACGCCCTGTCCCGCTGCTGGTCTCTGGGTCCCCCGACCCCTCACAGCCTTCAATGTGCCTGGTGAGGGGCCAGTAGGAGTGGAAATGCCGAGTGTTTCGGGGCAGGCCTGGGATGTGGATGAATTCATCCTTATGGTTGAATGTATTGACAATAGGTTAGTTTCAGGGATAAAAACATGAAACCTACCAGGTCAGTCGGGCAGCGGCTGACCTAGGCTTCACTCATGACACCTCTGTGGTCCCTCCCAGCCTGCCAGGGATCAGCCCGGAGCACTTCTGGGTATGGCAAAAAAAAAAAAAAAACCCACTAAAATATGCACACAGAACACTTTGCTTTTTTTCTCCTTAAGTGCATTTTGTGGGTTTGAGGAATATGAGTGTAAGTTTTAGCCCCTTTTCTGCTTTGGTAGAAAGGGGGTGTGTTTGGGACCAGCCCGGTAGTGCCCAGGGTCCCCTCCTGTTCCTGCTGAGGACACCATATGTAGTACCAGGGATCGAGCTGGAGTTGGCCACCTCAAGGCAGTGGCTTCCTCCTGTGCCGTCTGTCCAGCTTATGGCCTGTCTCAGCTCTCAGGACGAGTCACGGGGCTTGTCCTCATGTCTCCGAGTCGGAGTGTGGCAGCGGGTTGGAGCAGGTGTAGGGCTGCAGGCCCAGGGCCTGGGGCTCTTGCTTTGGACTCATTCTCCTGTTTGTCCCCATGACTAGGTGTTTGCCCTCCTAAAGCGTTCCGTCACCAAGAGCTTCAAGGATCGGAATCTCCTCCAGGGTTCAAAATTCCTTCAGAACCTCGTCCTGCCTCGAACTTGTGCTTCGTCCATGATCCTGGAAGTGGTAAAGAGCAGGTGAGTGGGGGGGCCCGGCCCCCTTGGTTCCTGAGCTGCACGGGTCCCCACTAGTGGCCCTGGAAAGAGCCAGAGCCTTGGTCTGTGGCTTCCTGACTGAGGCTCGATCCCTGGAAACCCGCCAAGCAGCTTTTCTTGTGCGGGAAACCCCTGTCTTGTACCACATGGTGGCAGGAGCGTGGCATCAAAGTAGGTGCCTGTCCCGTCACACTCGGCTGGCACCTCACCAGCCAGTCTGGGTGGACAGTTGAGGTGAGGAAGCTTCAAGTTGACTCCAAGTCTGGGGTGGCCAAATTATCACGGTGACACAATTGATGAGTGGTTTTAGCCAATTCCATTTATTATTATGTTTGTTTGAAGGCCACGCCTGGCTGAGCTCAGGGTGGATTCTGTGCTCAAGAATCGCTCCTCAGTTCCATTTAAATAGACAGACTGAAGGGGCTGGAGCAACAGCACAGCGGGTAGGGCGTTTGCCTTGCACGTGACCAGCCCGGGTTCAATTCCCAGCATCCCATATGGTCCCCCGAGCGCCGCCAGGAGTGATTCCTGAATGCAGAGCCAGGAGTAACCCCTGGGCATCGCCGGGTGTGACCCAAAAAGCAAAATAAATAAATAAATAAAAATAAAGACAGTCTGAAGAACCAGTCAGATAGTATAGTGTGCTATGCTCATGGCCAACCCAGGTTCGAGCCCCCAAATCCGATAGGGTCCCCCGAACCCTGCCAGGAGTGATCCCTGAGACACAGAACCAGGCCCTGAGCATCACCAGGAGTGCCTCCCGAACTGAAATAAAAACAAACGGAAAAGCTTTCTGCCCCTGCAGCGCCCACTGCTGGGACCACGTCACCCAGGGCCTGCTCCAGCTGGGCTTCCTTCTCATGGACACCTATGGACCAAAGAAGGGTTTTGAGGGGAAACCCGTGGAAAACAGCTCGATTCTTGCCCGAATGCCGAATCAGCATGCGTGTAAGCTGGGAGCCAACATCCTCCTGGAGACTTTCAAGGTCAGACCCTGCGTGGGACCCTGTGTGTTGCGTTGTTCAAGGAGCTCTTAAGCAGAGGGAGTACTGGGAGTGGAGGGGCGAGATGGAATCTTGGAGACGTGAGTTTCTGGGGACAGAGACTGTCTGGTACCGAGATAACACAGAGTCAGATTTCGGGTACTTTCTTATTTCCTACGTCCCTTTTTTCCCCCTTTGTAGTTTGGGCCACACCCTGTTGTACTTGATGCTTTTTCCTGGCTCTGCGCTCCGGGATCACCCCTGGAGGGGACCTGGGACCGTATGGGGTACTGGGATCAAACCTGCCTCAAGAGTGTAAGGTTCTCTTTCCTCTCACATAGTTTTTATTCTAATTAAAAATAAATTTTTTAAGTTTTTTTTTTTGCCACACCCGGCAGTGTTCAGGGCTTTGTCTGGGCTCTGCATTCAGAATTATTACTCCCGATGGTGCACATAGCATCACATGAAATGCTGGGGATCGAACCCAGGTTGGCCACATGCAAGGCAAATGCCCTATTGCTCCGGCCCAGTTTTCATTTTTATTATTACCCTCCCACCCCATTTTTCCTCTAAAATAATGCCTTATGCAACTAAAGAAATTGTTTTATTGGGGCTGGAAAGATAGTATAGTGGAATGGTGTTAGCCTTGCACACAGCTGACCCAGGTTCAATCCCATATAGTCCCCCAAGCACCACCAAGAGTAATTCCTGAGTGCAGAGCTAGGAGTAACCCCTTAGCATCGATGGGTGTGACCCAAAAAGCAAAAAAAAAAAAAAAAAAGGTTTCATTTCATATAACCAATAGCCTTGTCAAAGCATTGACTCTTGGTAATTTTTTCTCTGCAACATGAAATAATATTAGCGTATTTCAAAGTCACATAGAGAGAAGCTTAGAATTAAATTCCTTAAACTTTAAACTCTTGAAACTTTAAACTCTTGCAAGTTCCATGTATTGCCAGAAAATCTGTGGGCAGTTGTGGTAGGGATCCCTGGGCCTGTTGTGCCCTGGACCCCACACAGTCCTGGGTGCAGGCGCCGTGTCCGGCCTGCTGCAGGGCTGTCGGGAGAATGGGGGTCGTGTCCAGCTGGAGCCGCGCTTGGTCCAGATACTTCCCCAGTCTTCCTGGTCCGAAGACCCGGCTGTCTCTGACCCACCTCCAGATCCTGCTCCTTGTTTCCCACGGCGCAGGGATGCAGTTGCAAACGGATGCTCACCGAGGCTCTTTCTGCTCTCTCCAGGTCCACCAGCTGGTCAGAGAGGAGATCCTCGAGCAAGTCTTCAACAGGGTTGTCACAAGAGCGTCCGCACCCATCAGCCATTACTTAGGTGCTGAGCGTTGAGGGGCTCTGGGGCCAGAAATGGGCTGAAATGTTGGTCTTGGGGGCAGGTCCGGGGGGGAAGGGGGTGGAGATTCCCATGATGCGGTAGTTCACTGTTTGCTTACAATGCCAATATAGGGGAAGCCTGCTTCTAGACCCTCTGAGGGTCAGGGAGGGAAGGCGCCAGTGGCTCAGATGCACAGTGGCCTCGTTCTAGCTGCTGTGTCTGTCCAGCACGCACGGCTACTGTCCCGGCCCGTGTCTGGACTCCGCTCTGCCAGTGCCACGAACCAGCAGTGCCTCTAGGCACTGTCTGAGCCGCCCCATAGCCCTCTGCTACTTTCCTGCTCCGCTGGCCTGCTCTCTGGTTCTCTCCAGCAAATGGCACCGCCTGAATTGTCTTCTCCTTCGTGCACCCTTTTCGGGTCTGTTCTTGGTTTTCATTTGTGTTTTCCCCACTGCAGTGACAGTGATGGGCCATGATTGCGATTTCCGTGTGAGATGTGATCCAATCTATTTTGACTCAGAATCTTTTGGGGTGTTTGGGGGGCCACATCTGGCAGTGCTCAGGGCTTCCTCCTGGCTCTGCACTCAGGAATTACTCCCGACAGTGCTCGAAACACCATATGAGATCTGGGGATTGACCTGGGTTGGCTGTGTGTAGGGCAAACACCTGCTACACTGTCTCTCCAGCACTTACGAGTGTTTAATGTCTCGTACTTGAAAGGCCTTCACTAGATGAGGGTTTTGCCAATATCCTTGTGGCCTTTCGGATTCTGATGGTCCCTGTACCCCAGAGCCCAGCTGACATTTGTTCCCTCGCATTCCAGACAGGGCAGTCTTCTCTGACCTTGTGCGTAAATCTCGTCATCGTTTGCTGACGATTCCATTTGGAAGTGCTGAATATTGGTGTGTTATGTGTCTTTTCCCCCTTCAAATGAAGTTAAAATTCTTTTTATTTATTTATTTATTTTAAGATTTTTCTTTTTGCTCTTTGGGTCACACCCAGCGATGCTCAGGGGTTATTACTGGCTCTGCACTCAGGAATTACTCCTGGCAGTGCTTGGGGGACCATATGGGATGCCGGGGATTGAACCCAGGTTGGCTGCATGCAAGGCAAATGCCCTACCTGCTGTACCCATCGCTCCGGCCCCCAAATTCTTGTAGAGACTGTTTTGTGTTAACTGTATTTCAGTGCCACTTTCTGGCTGGGATATAGAAAGACTTGGCCAGGTGGAATAATGGATTTTTGCCTTTTTTTTTTTTTTTTTTGCTTTTTGGGTCACACCCGGCAATGCACAGGGGTTACTCCTGGCTCTGCGCTCAGGAATTACCCCTGGCGGTGCTCAGGGGACCATATGGGATGCTGGGAATCGAACCCGGGTCGGCCGCGTGCAAGGCAAACGCCCTACCCGCTGTGCTATTGCTCCAGCCCCGGATTTTTACCTTTTAAAGTGGCTTTTGCCTTATCACGGATAAAAATTTAAGTATCCCCATGTTATTGACTGTAGGAATACTGTAGGAATACAATGACTGGAGGATCTGTAGAAATTGATATTGTTATTTATCTGTAGGATCAGTAGAAGTTTATTTGGTAATTTGTATCTGTGGTGCTCAGGGAAGCCTGTTGGGCCAGGGAGGCCCTTGGGTCCGCTGCTGGCCTGGCTCACTGGGGAAGGCAGTGTTCTCGTGGCGCCCTCTGCTGGCAGAGGCGCTGACCAGCGGTGGTTTTGCAGACCTGCTCTCCAACATCGTCATGTACGCGCCCTTGGTTCTTCACAGCTGCTCTTCAAAAGTCATCGAGGCGTTCGACTATTTGTCCTTCCTCCCCCTCCACACGGTCCACGGGCTGCTGAAGGCCATGCAGGTCAGTCTCCCCACTCCCGGGCAGTCCGACACGAAGCATGTTGGAATTTTTTCTGGGGGGGATTGGGTCTGGGGGCTGTACTCACAGAGCTCAGGCTGTTCCTGGCTCTGTGCTTGGGGTCACTCCTGGCAGTTGTCAGGGGAGCATTTGTAGTGCTGGGGCGGCTGAGTGCGGGGTCAGGCCCTTATCCCCGGCGCCCTCCATCCATGTGTCTGAGCGTCTGTTCCCTTTGGTTCTGGAATGTCGCACTTTGTCTCTCGGGCACAGGCCGAACCCTGTTAGGTTAACGCTTCCGCGCCTTCGACTCAGTTGCACCGTAGTCAAGTCATAAAAAGGCACTGAGGAAGTTGGTGTTTTGGGGGCCACATCAGCAGTGCCCAGAGATGACTCCTGGCCCTGTGCTCAGGTGGCACCATACTCTTGCCGGCTAAGCTGTAACCCGGCCTGCTGGGTGCTCTCTGGCCCTCAGAGACAAAGACTGAGAATATGGGGCGAGCGATGGTGTGGCAGGGCTCTTGCCTTGCCTGCGGCCAACCGGGGTTCACGCCCCGCCAGGAGTGAGTCCTGAGTAACCTTTGACTGCCGGGTGTGGCCCCTAAACAAATTGATGGAGAACAAAAAGCAAACATGAAGACGTGCCCAAGTAGTTCAGGCAGTGTCTCGGGTGGCTACGGCCCCTGCTTCCCAGCCGGAGCGATGGGCTGAGGCCGCTGACCTGGGCCCTCCCCTCCCTCTGCAGCCCCTCCTCAAGGTCAGTGTGGCCATGAGAGACTCGCTGATCGTCGTGCTCAGGAAAGCCATGTTCGCCCGGTGAGTCGGGCTGCAGCGTGCAATGTTGGGGGGTGGGAGGTTCTGCCTCCATGCAGGAGAGCCCCGGTAGCCCAGGGGTGGGGGGGTCGCTGCTTCGGGCTCAGAGACAGGCCCCCCACTTTCACCTGAGTCAGCCTGGGCTGCAGTGCCCGGCCTTCCAGCAACCGCACCGTGGCCTTCAACAGGGGGCTAGTGTACCGTGGTGGGGGGGGGGTGGGGGGCAGCTCAGCTGGGCCCCATCCGGAGGCCTCCCGGCCTGCTCCCCACTTCCTCGGTCATGTGCACTCCCCGACAGCCCTCCTGGGCTTCACCCCCCACTCCTCACTGGGCCCGTCCTCTTCCGGGCCTTGCCCCCGACATCCGCTTTCAGGCCTGTCCTCGCTCATCGTCCCTCTTGCCCTGAGCAGGCAGCTGGATGCCCGCAAGTCGGCCGTGGCCGGGTTTCTGCTGCTCCTGAAAAACTTCAAGGTGCTGGGCAGCTTGTCCTCGTCCCAGTGCAGCCAGTCCATCGGGGTGAGCCAGGTGAGGCCCTGCAGCGTGTCTGGGAGGCCCTGCCATGTGTCCAAGGGGCGCCTCCTGCTGCACACGTGAGCGGGTGTGCGCCCGCTGGTGTGAGACCCAGTGGCTCACAGGTGAGGGTGGGCACAGACTTCGCGAGCCCACTTTTTCTTTCACACAACCCCGAGGTGCCGGGTGTGGCTCACGGGGCTGGCGGCCCCTGTCCACAGTGCGCTCAGGCCATGTAGTGCTGTGGCTCCTATCAGAGGCGTGCCCGAGATACCAGAGTGTGAAGGGTCCGGATGAGTGTGCAGACAGGCAGGCACGGCCCGTGGCCTTCTCCCTCCCACGTTGAGAAGCTGGGGTGTGCTGGGTTCTGTGAAAACTCACACGTCGGCAGTGTCGTGCACATGCCCACCCCCTCCTGGCCCTCTGCCTCTGGGCAGTTTTTACTTGACCACCAGGAGATTGCAGACTCAGGCCAGTCTCCTGCCTGGGCGGAGGTCTCTCCACACAGCGCCGGATGCTTCTTAGACCTCTGCTGGACCTGCCGCCCTCTGTCCCGCAGGTCCGCGTGGATGTCCACAGCCGCTACAACTCCGTGGCCAATGAGACGTTCTGCCTGGAGATCATGGACAGCCTGCGCAGGTGCCTGGGCCAGCAGGCCGACGTCCGGCTCATGCTCTATGAGGTCGGTCCGGGTGGGTGCCAGATGGCAAAAGTGGTTCCCCCGACTGGACGTCATTATGTCTGTTACTTATCGTCGTAAAAATTACTATGTCGTGCATGATTCTAAAAGCATGACGCGTGCGGCTGCCCGTGATTGATGTGACGGTCCGAGAGTTGCAGGTGAGGAAGTGGATGAAGCGAGGGCCTCGGGTGTTCTAATTCGGAATGTATGAACGGTCTGGTTTTAGGTTTTTACATTGAGTTTGCCCTTTTTTTTGGTGCTCTCTTTTGGCCTTTCTTTTCTTTTGAGACTGTGTCCTTTCGTTTCTGCATGTGATTCTGCTTCTGGGAACATTGAGTCTTGCACCAGTTGTCGCTGTGATTCTTCTGTAAGCTTAGTTGCTCTCTTCTCAGGTGGAAAGAAGCCTTGAGGGAGCCCCCCCCGGCCTTGTCTGTGCCCTTCTGGGGGTGTTGCTGCCCCCCTTTCAGAGATGGTCAGTTCTGAGCTTCGTGCTCAGGCTCTTGTTCTCCCAGCTCATGTGTCTCCTGAGAAGCTGGTTCTGGACCATCCTCTTCCACACACAGCATCCAGCCCCAGGTCTGCGGGCCCTTTACTTCACCTGGCACTGTCGACCAAAACCCACATCCGTTTTTTGTTTTTTTTTTTAATGGTTATTGTACATTATGAAGTGTCTTCTTTTCACTGCTAGTTGGAGCTAATCTCCCTTTTTTTAACAACTACAACCAAAAAAGATCAATTTTCCATATGATTTTTCTCGCAGATGAACAGTTACTTTTTTTTTTATTTTTAAGGTATTTTAATAAAGGTGTTCATGATTTATGACATTCAGTATTCTAACACCAATCCCACTACCGGGGCACCACCTTCTGTGTGTGTGTGTGTGTGTGTGTGTGTTTAACTGAATCACTCTGAATTACAAAGCTAGGAAGATATTTATGATTGAGTTTCAGGGGTATCTTGCTCTGACAGTTGCTTCGGCAGTGAATAGTTCATATTCTCCTTTCCAGCTTCCAAAAAAAGCCAATTCCTTTCCATTGTTTTCATCAAAGCAGTTTTTTTGTTTTTTTTGGGCCACACCTGGCAGTGCTCAGGGCTGACTCCTGGCTCTGTGCTCAGGGCTTGCTCCTGGCGGGGCCGGGGGGATGCTATGGGGCGCCAGGGATTGAACCTGGGTCGGCCGCATGTAAGACAAGCGCTGTCCCCATTGTGCTATTGCTTTGGCCCCTCATTCGAGCAATTTTTTGCTCAAACTGGGAGATGTGGAAGAAATGTTATGGTCATTCACGCCAAGTGGGGCTTGGGGCTCTGAAAGCCTTTCGATGTCCTGAGCGTGGCTAGGCAGAGTGTCCTGAGGGGTCCCCTGGAGGGTGGAGAGGGCGAGACTGGGCAGTGACGGGCTGAGTCCTTCCCACTCTGGCGGGGTCTGCAGGTCACACTCTGTAATACTTGCACACACCTTGTGACCCGGGTCTCCGCCCTCCCGGTCCCTGAGGCGCTCTGGTTCTCTGCTCCCTCACAGGGCTTCTATGACGTCCTTCGCCGGAACTCGCAGCTGGCTACTTCCATCATGCAGACTCTGCTCTCGCAGGTAAGACCCGTGTCCCGCCGGGCAGGGTAGCCACGCATGCACCTTCCTGCTGCCTCGTCGCCGAGGCGCTGTGACTTGGCGTTGGGAAATTCCGCCCTCTCTCTCTTAGCTCATTTCTTTTTATTCTATTTTTTCTATATTTGGGCCACATGCGTGGTGCTCAGGGATGATTCCTGGCTCGGTACGGCAGACTCCGGGGTGCTGGGGATTAAGGCCTTACCCCGGACGCTTTCCCCTGCCCTTTGTGAGTGCGGCTTCTCCAGCCCTGGTTTCCATCATTCTCAGGGCACGGGGCTCTTTGTACCTCTGGTCTCTGTTCTTTTGTTGTTGGTCTCAAGGCCTCCTGAGCACCGCCAGGAGGGCCCCAAACACGGGGTGGTGGTGGTGGTGGTGGTGGTGGTGTGTGTCTGTGTGTGTCTGGGAAGTGGCTGGGAGCTGCCATGTCCATGCAGCCAGAGGGGTGTGTGTGTGTGTGTGTGTGTGTGTGTGTGTGTGTGTGTGTGTGTGTGTGTGTGTGTGTGTGTGTGTGGGAAATGGCTGAGAGCTGCCATGTCTGTGTGTGTGTGTGTGTGCGCGCGCGCATGTGCGCGTGCTGAGTTGGGGGGCTGCGCCCATGAGCCCCGTGTTCTTGCCCTGCAGCTGAAGCAGTACTATGAGCCCGCCCCCGACGTGCTGCCGCCCCTCAAGATCGGAGCCTGTGTGGTGACCCAGGGGGGCCAGACCTGCCTACAGGAGCCGCTGGTGAGGAGCCCCGGGCCCTGACAACACCTGCCCGCCCCGTGGCAGTGGTGGCAGTGGCATGCCGTGGACTGAATTGGGATATCAGCCTCCTGTCTCTTGATGATGTGTGTTCAGAGCACGTGCTTTGGCACGTTTGAGGGTCTGCGTCTGAGGCTGCAGCACGGGTGGGCCCTGGTGCTCTGAGGGATTCCCCATGCAGACACGGCTACAGGGCCGCCCCTGGACTCAGGAGCCTGTTGGGCCTTTCCCCGGCACCCGTGGCTTTAGGTCTGAGGAGAAAATTTGGTTTAAGAGTCTGAAGCAGCGGGGCTGGAGCAATAGCACAGTGGGTGGGGCGTTTGCCAAGCATGCGGTCAACCCAGGTTCGATTCCAGCATCCCATTTAGTACCCCAAGCACTGCCAGGAGTAATTCGTGAGTGCATGAGCCCAGAGTAACCCCCGTGCATCTCTGGGTCTGACCCAAAAAAACAAGAAAAAAGAAGTGTCTGAAGCGGGGCCAGAGAGATAGTACAGTGGGTAGGCATTTGCCTTGCCCGTGGCCCACTCAGGTTCAATTTCTGACATTCCATGTGGTCCCCCAAGCACCCCCAGAAGTGATTCCTGAGTCCAGAGCCAGGGGTAACCCCTGAGCATTGCTGGGTATGACCCCCCCAAAAAAATAAAAACCAAGAAAGTCTGAAGCTTGTGTCACTTGGGGAAATACCAGAAAACAAGGCCCGTTCTAGAATGTTCTTCGCTGTCCCAGGGAGTGATGGTGACCCAGTGGTGCTGATAGTCACTCCAGCTAGTAGAAAAGATTTCTTCTTCAGCAGCAACTTCATAGAATCTCTTTGCTAAGAGTCGGGCCATGGGCTAGAGTACCAGCACAGTGAGGAGGGCACTTGCCCTGCATGCCATCAATCCAGATTCCATCCTTAGCACCCCATAGGGTCCCCTAAGAGCCATGGTTGTGATCCCTGAGCACAGCCAGGAGTAAGCCCTGAGCACCACTGGGTGTGGACTGAACTGCAAAAATTGTGTGTGTGTGTGTGTATGTGTATAGGGCGGAGCGATAGCACAGCGGTAGGGCGTTTGCCTTGCATGCAGCCCACACGGCTGACCTGAGTTCTATTCCTCTGCCCCTCTCGGAGAGCCCAGTAAGCTACTGAGAGTATCGCGCCCGCACGGCAAAGCCTGGCAAGCTCCCTGTGACGTATTCGATATGCCAAACACAGTAACAACAAGTCTCAATGGAGACGTTACTGGGTTTGCTCGAGCAAATCGATGAACAACGGGAGAATAGTGACAGTGATGTCTGTGTATATACACACATGCATGTGTATATATGTGTGTATGTGTGTGTATATATATGCGTGTATGTGTGTGTGTGTACATACATACACAGCTGAGCATACACACACATACACACACACAGCTGGGCAGACTATTGCTGTCATTTGTTTTTATTTGGCCCGACCCAGACAGGCAGTGCACAGGGACCCTGAGTGGTGCTGAGGGTGGAACTTGGGTTGGCCCGTGACTGGCCATGCCCAGGATTGCTGAGCGTCTCCTTCCTGCCTCCTCCCCAGGACTCCCTCTTGTGCTGCATCCAGCACTGCCTGGCCTGGTACAAGACCAAAGTGATCCCGCTGCAGCAGGGCGGCGGGGCGGACGCCGATGAGGACGAGGAGGGCTTCTACCAAGTCCTGGATGACATGCTGGAGTCCATCACGAAGAGGATGGTCAAGAGCGAGCTGGAGGACTTGGAACTGGTACCCGCCCCGCCTCTGCCAGATCGGCCTGGGGCTTCCGGGCTGGGGTTGGGCTCCTCCCGGCTCTGCGCTGAGGCTCACGCGGGAAAGTGCCCCCGCCCACTCCAGTGCGGACTGCATTTTGAACCAGGGTCTGGGTCTTTTTTTTTTTTCAAGTTTTTGGGCCATATCTGGCGGTGCTCAGGGGTTGCTTGCTGGTTCTGCACTCAGGAATTACTCCCGGCAGTGGTCTGGGGACCCTGTGGGATGCCGGGGATCAAACCCGGGTTGGCCTCCTGAAGGCGAGCACCATCCCCACTGTGCTCTCTGTCCCCCGATTGTGTCCTCTAGGACAAATCAGTTGATATTTCACAGACCACTGATGTGGGCACCAAAAACAGACTCTGTGGGTCTCTGGTGATGGGCATCTGTGAGGTCCTGATCGAGTACAATTTCTGCACCAGTAACTTCAGGTGAGCTGAGGGCGCACCAGTCGTCGGGTGGCGGTGGGGTGGGGAGTTCTCCTAGTCGGATGCCTTTTATCTGGTTTTCACTTTCCGATTTTATCCCCTGGCATCGGGGGAGGGCCGGGGTCCCAGCCGCAGCCAGGCTGGACCTGCCTCGCCTGCCCACGTGCCCCACCTCCTCCCCCCCTGCAGTAAGAGCAAGTTTGAAGAAGTGCTGAGTCTGTTCACGCTTTATAAGAACGTCTCCGACCTGCTCGGCGAGAAGACGGGAAAGGGCAAGTTGCGGGGCACCGGCAGGGCCCAGGAGAGCCTCCTGTCCTTGAAGTTTGTAGCCCAGCTCCTCGAAGCACTGTACAGGCAAGGCCCAGGAGCGCTGGGCAGGGGGCGGTGCCGCTGCGGGGCTGCTGTCCGCTGTGCGGAGTCCGGGCCCTGGGCGCCGAGTTGACACCGACACTCCTCCCCGCTGCAGGGACACCACGCAGAGCCACCAGGAGAGCCTGTCGGTGCTGCGGTCCTGCAGGGACTTCAAGCGCTATGCGGTGAGCGTGGCTGTGCAGAAGATGGTGCAGCTGAAGGACACGGGCTGCGTGAGCGGCCCCGACGGCCAGAGCTCCGAGAGGCTCTTCCAGAACCTCTGCTCCATCACGCGGTGAGCCCGGGCACCGGGCCCGGCCACGCGCGGTCCTCACAGGTGTGCCGCGCGGACTGACCGCCGTCCCCCCGCAGGGTCCTGCTGTGGCGCTACACGTCCATCCCCTCGTCGGTGGAGGAGCGGGGCAAGCAGGAGGGCAAGAAGGAGCGGGGCAGGGGCTCGAAGAGCGTGTCGCTGCTGTGCCTGCAGGGGCTGTTCGCCGTCCTGGGTCTCCTGGAGCACTTCTACCCGCCCAAGATCCAGCAGTTCCTCTGCGCGCTCGGTGGGCGCTGGCCGCGGGAGCACGGCGGGGAGGGGGGGGCCTGGCAGGGCTGACCCTCGGGCGGGCGCAGGCCACAGGAGAGCCTCGAGCCGGGCGCCGCCGCCAAGTGCCGGGGCCAGAGCGTGTCCTGCCCTTCCTCTGCAGAGGTGACGGGGGAGCGGGCTGACGTGGAGATCAACGTCACGCAGAGGGCCTCCTTCCAGATCCGCCAGTTCCAGGTGGGGCAGCCGCAGCGACGGGGGGCCCCGCCGGGAGGGGCCGGGCTGGGCTGTGGGAGCTGGCAGCCAGGAGCGGGGGCTGCCGGCTGACGCCCTGCGTGTCCGTCCGCAGCGGGTCCTGCTGAACATGCTGAGTCTCTCGGAGGAGGAGGTGAGCGCGCGCGAGGCCCTGCTGCTGGTCAACACCATGTCCAGCCTCTGCAAGCTGCTCGAGCCCAGCTCCCAGCAGGTAGGCCCCCGCCAGCCTGCCCCTTCCTCCCCGGGAGTTGCGTGGCCGGCACTGAGTGAGGGGATGCCGCCGCTGCAGGGTCACCGGGGACAGAGGAGGGCAGGGGCAGTCGCGTGGGCGAGGCTCCCATGCCCAGCCCCCCCGCCTGGCACGCGGCCCTGATGCTTGCTGGCCCTCTAGTTCTCGCAGGTGCTAACCTGGACCATGAATGTCTGCAAGGAGAAGAGCTGGGGTGAGTATCTGGGGGGTTGTCCATGGGGTCGTCGGTGGGGCGTGTGTCCGTGGCGTCACCTGTGGGGTGCATGTCCGTGGTCTGTCTGTCTGTCTGTGGGGTTGCGCCCCCACCTTGCCTTTGGGGCGCCTTTGCCCCCAGCCCCCTTCCCCGGGGTTCTGCGGGCTGCGCTCCTGCCTCCTGAGTTCGCGGGGGTCGGGGGGGGGCGTGGGACAGCCATGCCTGAAGGCGGCCTGCGGTGGCGGGCAGGTGTCTGGGGGGCCGGTGGGGCTGCGCCGTGGCCTGGAGCTGCCCTGCCCCCCCAGGGGACCCGGCTCTGTGCAAGGCCCTCCTGGGACTGCTGCTGATGCTGCACACGCTCTGCAAGAGCCCCGCGGTCCTGCTGCGCGACCTGGCTCAGGACATCCACGGGCACCTGGGGGACGTCGACCAGGTGCGGGGGCGGGGCAGGACGTTGCCGGGTTCGGGCGTAAGGTGGGGCAGTTCATCCACGGGCACCGGGGGGTGTCGACCAGATACGGGGGGCTTTGGGGGGAGTGCCGGGGCTCACCCCACCACTGCCTCTCAACCCCCGCCGTCCCAGGATGTGGAGGTGGAACAGACCAACCACTTCGCCTTGGTGTCCCCGAGGACCGCTGCCCCCGCTGTGTGTGTGAGTGCTGCGCCCTGCCCTCTGCCCCTACCCTCCATTCCTGCCCGCTGCCCCGTGCCCTGCCCTATGCCCGCCCGGGACCAGCTGGGCCCTGTCCTGCCCTTGGCAGCTGCTGGTGCTGAGCCAGGCGGAGAAGGTGTTGGAGGAGGTGGACTGGCTGATCACCAAGCTCAAGGGACAGATTGGCAAGGAAGCCCGGTCGGGTGAGTCACGCCTGGGGACCCGGAGACTAGATCCAGAACCGTCCCCCCAAACCCCTCGGACTGCCCTGCCTGGCCCGTGTGTTTGTCCTGCTCTGGTTTCTGGGGCATCAGGGAGCTGGGCTGGGGTGAGGCCGCACTGCTGGGCCAGTGGGTCAGTGCCCGTCTTCCTGCAGAGGCCCCATCTCAGGAGTCTCCCAGCCGGGCCGTGGAGAAGGCCGTGGTCGTGCAGCTGGGGACGCTCCTCACCGCCTTCCACGAGCTGGTGCAGACGGCTCTGCCGTCGGGCAGCTGCGTGGACGCCCTGCTGAGGGCCCTGTGCAAGATGTACACCACGCTGACCGCCCTCGTTAAATACGTGAGTGGGGGGTGGGGGAGGGAGCGTCCCCTCTCCCGGGCCCCTCCAGCACCCCCTCAGGCCGCTCCCAGCATGCTCGGTCTGCCCAGCACTGCCGAGTGACTGCTGGTGCCATACAGAGCCAGGGGAGGCCACGTGCCCGGCCGGTGCCTCATCCACTGGGCTCTGTGGCCCGAGGTGGTGGTGGTTTTGGGGCACTCCCAGCTCTGCTCAGGGGGCCGTGCTAGAGAGCAGGTGGGTGGCTGCAGACACGTGCCTTGGTGCCTGTCCTGTGCCTCTGGTTCTCCCCCTGACGCTGCTGGTGCTCTGAGGCCGCCGAGCACCAGAGATGGATGATGACCTGTGGGCTCCATTCTTCCCTTCCCCGTTATGCTCGGCCAAGGTGCTCCTCCTAGGGTCGGGATGGCGCTCGATGCCCGACACTGCAGGGGTCGGTGCCTCTGCCCGGCTCTGCGGGAAGCCCCGCCGTGGTCCGGCATTTTGTTTTGAAAGCCGTACAGAATCCCCTCGCTGTTGTCTCGCCCGCCCCAGGCTCAACAGGCTCAATAGGCGGGCAGTTAGGGAGCGGGGCTGGGGCCAGTTCTGAGGAACGCAGGCGCCCTCCACCTGGCCTGGGCCTGTTGTCACTCATTCACCTCGCTACTCAGGCCAAGCCACTGCCACTGCCACTGCCACGTTCTGCCCCCTCGCAGACCCGTCAAGTGGGTGGGACTCATCAAGTGGGTGGGACTCGTCAGTGCTGCCTGGGGGAGGGAGCTGTCCCCTTTCCTGCTGCGTCTCCTGACTCCGCTGCCCTCTCAGTCCATCCAGGTGTGCCAGGGGCCTGGAGGGATCCCCAAGAACATGGAGAAGCTGGTAAGTGGGCACCACCCCCTGGTGCTCAGCTCCCCTCTCTGGGGGCTCCAGAGTGCAGTTGGGGATGCAGGGGACACTCCTGGCTATTCCTGACCGAGTGGCCGGCCCATGGGGGGGGGGGGGGTGTCGTGGGGCCTGGCCCCATGATCCTGCGGCCTCAGTGGCCCCTTCCTGCCATTGCAGGTGAAGCTCTCTGGCTCGCACCTGACCCCCGTCTGCTATTCCTTCATTTCGTACGTGCAGGTCAGTGACCGCTAAGCTCAGGCACAGAGCTGGGGACCACAGTCCCTGGGCTCTCTCTGGCACTGTGCCCCGAGCCAGACAGGAGAAAGGGGAGGTCTTGGCACTGCCCTCAGGAGCGCGCCCCATCTCCCCCTGATTCTCTCCCCAGAACAAACAGAGCCTCCCCACAAAAGGGGAGAAGGCCAAGGAGAAGGGCACGGTGGCCACGGCCATGGTGAGTGTCCGCGGGGCGGGGCGTGGGGACGGCCCCGGTGACAGTCTGCTTTGGGCACTGCCGTGTCAGCCCCAGTGACTGAGCCCAGGGCAGGCTGACAGGTGCAGGGGCCTCGCTCAGGAAGCTCGAGGGGGGCTGGGGGGACACACCTGCTGGTGCTTATGGGAAAGCAGTAGCCCCGAGGGCGACCTCCTCATGGGCTGTCTGCACCCTCCAGGCCCGATCTCTCCGGGAGACCAAGCCCATCCCCAACCTCGTGTTTTCCATTGAGCAGTACGAGAAGTTCCTCATCCTGCTCTCCAAGAAGTCTAAGGTGAGCGGGACGGGGCTGTGCGGGGAGGGCCCGGGCTGGGGGCGCCAGGCCCGGCCCCCTGCACAGCGCCGTGCTCGCCCGCCCAGGTCAACCTCATGCAGCACATGAAGCTTAGCACTTCCCGCGACTTCAAGATCAAAGGGAACATCCTGGACGCCGTGCTCCGTGAGGAGGAGGACGGCCAGGAGCAGGGCGAGGAGGTGACCGCCAGCCCTCCCCACCCCCTGCGGCGGCGGGAAAGCGCAGAGCGGGCGCGGGTGGCGCGGAAAGGCTGGAGTTTATTCCCTCGGCCTCAGCGCGCTCTGCCTCCCTCCCAGGGCTGCACGCTGGAGGCGGAACCCGCCAAGAAACGGAGAAAAGAAACATCGTCCTGAGTTTCACAGCCGCGGCCCGTCCGGTGGCCGGCGCTGGCCTTGGCACCTGCTTTGGAACCCCCCGAGCTCCTTCCTGCCCTTCCTGCTGTTGAGCCCGGCTCCGAGTCTGAGGGTGTGGGGGGCTGCACCCCCGGCGGGCACTGCTACTCCGCTGGCGGGGGGCGTCGCTCCAGGGAGCCGTTGGTGAGCTCGAGGATCTGGTAGATGTCCAGAGCCTCCCCTGCAAGGACCAGAGCAGCGGGTGGCCACCTTGCTGGTGTCCCAACGCCCCCCCCCCAACTTTGCACTTTGACAATAAATGGTTCTCGTGTGGTTTGACCGAGTCTGGCCGCTCCTTCACCGCCCCTGCCCGCTTCTCACCCTGTGGAATCCCGTATCGCCGCTCCATTCCTGTGGGGTTGGACGGGGTTTTACAGTCCATGGTCACTTCTTTCCTGAGGCACTGGTCGATGTCCACGGCACTGAAGAAGGCCACCGACTGCGGCAGGTCGTCCAGGCCCAGCTTGTGGGCAAACATGCACCTGGGAGAGCCGAGTTTCCGCGGGGTGGGTGGGCAGCCTGGGGAGCCCCCCCGCCCGCCGCGCCCGGGCCACACCCCGCGGCCCACCTGGTGAGCAGGTTGCTGACCTGCAGGGCCAGCGCGGCGCGGTGCCGGTCCTGCTCGCGCACCAGGTAGCGCACCTCGTCGTGGATGCTGATGCAGAAGCGCCCGTCGATGGCGAACTCCTCCAGGAGCCACTTCATGGCCACGAGCAGGAGGTGCAGGTAGTCCACGGCCGAGCTCTGCACCACCCAGTTCACGCGGCTGGTCATGAACTGCCGGCAGGACACGGGCACGTGAGCCTGGCACGCCCCGCCCTGCTCCAGGCCACCGCCAGCCCCCCCCCCGCCCTGCCCCGGCCCCAGGCGTGGCCATACCTCCCCCTGCACCACGGCGGGCTCCAGGGCACGGCTGATGCGGCAGCCCAGCACCGGGGTACACGGCTGCGCAGCCGTGGCGATGCTCTCCAGCTTGTTGAACATCTCCGACTCAGTGCCCCCCGTCCACGCCCGCTCGGCCACCACCTCCCACCGCTTCCTGCGCGACCTGGGCGGGGGGGAGCAGGGACAGGCCTGGTCAGTCCCCGCCACTGCCACCGAGCTCCAGGGAGCACCGGCGCCGGTCAAGAGGGGCTCACCTGCGAGCCGCCTCTCGCTGGATCCTGCGCAGGTCCTGCAGGGACACCCAGCCGTCCTCGCTCCTGTCCACGTGCAGGCCCAGCTCCTGCACCAGCCACTCGCCCTCCTCCGACAGCCGGTACCTGCAGCAGAGCAGCGGAGCGGGACGAGGGCTGTGAGCACAAGGGGACGCCCACAGACCGGCTGTGCCCAGGGCGGCTCAGGCGGCAGCGGCAAGGGGCTGGGGGCCTCACCGGCGCAGACCCTTGGTGACCGCGTACATCTGCTGGGCTTTCTGGGCCGCCTCCTCTGGGGACAGCCGGTGGTTGAACTGCATGAGCAGCCGCTCGGCAAAGGGCTGGCCAGCCCCGTAAATGCGGCCATAGTTGAAGACCTTGGCGTGCTCCCGGCTGATGCCCACCGTGGCCGCCGTCTTGCTGTGCAGGTCTGTGCCCCGGCTTTTCCGACCCTGCAGCGTCATCCACCCGAAGGCCGTGCAGCCTGGGGGCGACGCAGTGTATGTGGGGTCACGCACAGCCCCCTGGCCTGGGCCCTTCCGTACCCCGCCTGGCCAGGACGCTCACCATGCAAGCCTGCAAAGTGGGCGTCACCCAGCACCGCTGCGATCCACAGCTCCTGGGAGTCTACGTCAGCACCCACCAGCACGTACCCCGGGGGGGCTTGCACCATGGCCTTCAGCTCGCTGCCCACTCGGTCGGCCTGCAGAGAGCCAGCATCAGAGGGTGGCGCCTCGGGGCACTGGGGCTAGGGTTCTGCCCGCTGCAGGGAGGGAAGCAGACGTGGTGCTGCCTGGCCCCGACCCTGGGGTCCTGCCCTGGGGATCCCCATGTCACGCACCCGGGCATTGCTGGCAGTGAGCCAGGTGGGCTCCACAGCCCGGCGAGTGATGGTGCCCGCGGTCACCACCTGGGGCAGGATGGCCCCGTACCGGCCCTCCTCGTCGTAGGCAGGGTGCCTGGTGGGAGGAACAGAAGCCTCAGAGCCAATCCACTCCAAGAACCCACCCTCCCCCCACCCTACCACAGCCGTACCTGGTCACAGCACGGGGCAGAGCCGATCTGGGCAGCCAGACCACCATCTGGGAGCTGAGGGGGGACAGGAGGGCTTCACACAGCCACCCCGGCCGGCCTGACTTGCCCTGAGGCACGTGGGACCGGAGGCGCCCACCCTACAGGCCAGTCCGTTCCAGCCCTGCCCGCAGCCCACCTGATCCGCTTGTGGGCGTTCCTCCAGAAAGAAACCATCTTGTTGATCTCCAGGGCACGGGGCCCACTGGCACCTCCGGGCCCAGCCTGCAGGGTGCCATCCTCCATCTTGGGCAGAAAGTCCTTGGCAAACGGGCTGCCCACGTTGCAGCTGCTCCCATCCTGGAGGGCACAGGACACAGGTGGCAGGGACCCTGGGCCCCTGGTCCGCCCCCCACACACACCCCAGCATGGCAAAGGTGAGTACCTCTCATGGCCGACCCTGGCGGACACGTACCAACCAGAAACACTTGTACAGATGCATGTACAGACATGTGTCCTCCATGTCACATGTACATGTGTCCCCAGACATATATACATGTATAGATATACATGTACATACACACCCACGGACATCCACACAAGTACATACACACCAAGAGGCAAACACAAGTGCATGTGTATAAACGAACACTCCTGTGGCCAGAGCAATAGTACAGAGGGGAGGGCGTTTGCCTTGCACGTGAAAAACCTGGGCTCCATTCCCAGCACCCCATAGGCCCCCCAAGCACCGCCAGCAGTGATTCCTGAGTTCAGAGCCAGGAGCTACCCCTGAACATGACTAGGTGTGACCCACACACATACATACCAAGGTATGTACACAGAGATGCACATACAAGCACCATGGCACACTTGTGCACACACACCAGGACACACTGTAGAGATACACACCTGTATACACACATCAGGACACACTGTACAGACAAACATACACCTGCACATACAAACACCGGGACACACTGTACAGACACACACATCTGTGTACACACACACCAGGACACACTGTACAGACTGACACACACGTACGCACACCAGGACACACTGTACAGACACACACCTGCGCACACACACCAGACATGTGTACAAACAGATACACACCTGCACACACATATACCAGGACACATAGTATATACATACTAACAGATGCACACATGTACACACACATACTGGGACACACTGTACAGATACATACACGTTCACACTGGAGCACACTGTAGATACACACATGTACACACATGCACCAAGGTGCACAGATGCATGTACCGTCTGTGCTGGATACATGCGTGTGCACTGAGACCAGAGGACAGCATCCATGAACACAGACAGACATGGAGAGACACACCCAGCAGCAAACCTGGCGGGGGCCACACTGGCACCACCCACCTTGTGAGGCAGCTTGAAGAACCAGCAGCCCGGGACATCCACATCATTGTAGGGGCCGTTGCCATGGTGAGCGGCTGGCCGGCTGGCTCGAGGGGTCGCCTCAGGCTGTGGGGCCACACACCTCGGTCAGGCCCTGCGTCGGGCAAGCACCAAGGGAGGGTGGGAAAAGGGCCTGAAACGGGGGCAGCCGAGCCAAGTGGGTCGGGGCCACACGACCCCCGACCTCGCCGCCAGCCCTCGGAAAGTCTCGGGGCGAGAGCTGCCGGCCGAAAGGCCCTGCCCCTAGCACCCACCCAAAGCCGCCCTGCACTAGGGCTGCTCACCAGAGCCGGGGGTCTGCCCAAGTCGGGGTCTTCCCAGCGCTCCATCCCAGTCTCCGCCTCGTGGCAGCCCAGCTGCTCCGCCTGGGGGGAGGGGCAGAGTGAGCCAGTGCCCCAGCAGACCAGCAGCGGCCCCCCCCCCACCGTCTTGTCCCCCCCCCACCGGTCTTGTCCCCCCCCAACACCCCTCCCTCCCTGCCTCACCGTGGGCCACAGGGCGCTGCCCTCAGCAAGCAGGAAGTCTTCAGATAGGCCCGGCTCTGGCCGCGGCTGCCGGTCCTGCGCTGGACGGTGTTTCCGGGACAGGGATTCAATGGCTCTGGGTAGACGGTACCAGCGTGGCCCGTGGTGACTCCCGGGCAGTCATACCCCTGGCTGGTCCTCGGAACCAGCTCAGATGCGCCACACCCAGTCCACACGCTCTGCTCCCAAAGACCGAGGCTCCCACGGACTATGCCTTTCCGTGGACCGGCAATTCCATGGACCACACACTCCAGGGGACCAGCACTCCCAGGGCCCACAGACCCACTGACCTGACACTAACACTGCGACCCGCAAGAACAAGCTAGGTGTGGCCCCGAAACAAACAGAGAAGAACAGTGCTGTGGGGGGGCCGGGCTTCCCTCCCCCCACAGGAGGGAGGCGATGGAACAAACAGCACTGCGGCAAACTGCGTGAGCACGGGCACAGAGCACTGGACATGGGGCGCAGCCCGCTCTCACCTGTAGGGACAAGCGGCCGGGCCCGGGGGCAGGTTGTCCCGCCGCCCGGGCACCAGGTAGCCCCAGCCGTGCCGCTCCGAGTAGTGCAGCGGGAAGCCATCCCAGGTGAGCGCCATGAGCTTGGGGGTGACCCGCATCTGCAGGCTGATGAGGCTGGGGCCCGGGGCCCACTCGGGGTCATCGAGCCGGGGACAGAGCTTCCGGTACCACCTGTGCCCGGCAGGAGGTGGTTAGCGCCGCTCCCGTATCTGGGCTGGCACCTCTGCTCTCCCGTGTAGCTGCTGGGCACCCAGGGCCTGAGACTTCCCATCTCCTGGGCTCGGTCCCGACCCACCCCCATGCCTCCCTGGGTGCCCACTCCTCACTCTCATCACAGGGAGGAAACGCGGCGCTCTCCCGGCCTGAGCCCAGAGGCGGCCGAGAGGTGCAGGGGTCCCGGGGCTCACCCGGGGTGCCCGGGCAGGTGCTGGGCTCGCTTGGGCAGGCGCTGTGTGGTGCCCTGCAGCTGCTCCAGACGGGCGCGGGCCGAGGCTGCTCTCTGCAGTTCCTCCTCCTCACTGGGGGGCCCCAGGTCTGTGTGGGGCGGAAAGAGCGTGCGATGGGGGCCCCTTGGAGGGAGACGGCGTGACTCCTCTCCACACCCCCAGCTCCTGCTCCCACCTTCCTGATCCGGAGGCTCCTCGGGGGCCCTGGGCCCCTGGGGGGGTGACTGGTGGTCCCCGGCTGGCTCCTTCCTTGCCACCTTCTTTGCCTTCTTCTGTTTAAACTCCTGCACGTCCCACTCCAGGTCCCAGAGCCAGGGGTCCTCCTTGTACCTGCAGAGCCGGTCCCGGGGCGGGCTCAGGCTGGGGCCCACCCCTCGAGTGCCCTGGCCCGGGGCGGGGGGCCCTGCAGCCAGCTCACCGCTCTCCCGGGAGCAGCTGGCACGCGGCGTCGGCCAAGCCCATCAGGGACTTCTTCATCTCCCGCTGCAGGCCCTCGTAGGTGCTCTGTGCCTCCTCCAGGTAGCGCTCCCAGTTCTGGTTCACGGGTAGGTAGGACACCCCCATCTCCAGCATCCCGGCCAGGGTCACAGGGTGGGGACACCTGGGGACGAGTGCGGGCCCGGGAGGCAGGGTTGAAGCTCCATGCCAGGGCTCTCAGGGTGCCGCTGCCACGCCCACAGTCACATGTGGCACAGGGGAAGCAAACGCTTGCCCAGGCCCTGGGCTCCAGGGCACTCACCCAACCCCTTGGCCCTCCAGGGCTCAGGGCACCCCGATGTGGGGGTGGGGGAGATCTCACCTCTCCAGGAAGAGCGGGAGCTGCTGCTGGAAGACCTCGAAGGTGGCCCACACGTCCCGGGCGCAGTAACCCATCAGGTCCTGTCACGGGCAAGCAGAGGGCGCAGGGTGGGTGGGAGGCCGTGCCACTGCCCGTGCCAGGTCCCGGGGTCAGCCGGGCCCCCGGGTCCCCCACCTGGAAGTTCTCGCGGACATCCTGCATGGTCCCCTTGACGAAGATCTCGCGGGGCTCCTTCTCCAGGGCAGGGCCCCCAACGTAGAGACGGTGCACGTCTGCCAAGTTGTTGGCACTGCTCACGTCCAGCCAGTCCCAGGACGAGATCTGGGGGCAGAGGGCAGTGTGTCTGTGCGTGGGGGAGGGGGGTGCTCAGACCCGCAGGGGCACTGAGACAGACCCCCGCACACCCTCACCCTGCCCCTTGCTCTCACCCCTGGGCCGTTGCTTCTGCTCCCAGCCTTGCGGCCCCCGGGTGGTGCAGGCGGCCGAGCCCGGTGCTTGCCCTGCTTGGCGGCCACCCACAGGCTGCGCTGGAGGCTGCTCAGCCCCGAGATGGCCATGTGCATGCTCATGGTGTCCAGGAAGCGCGTCGGGGAGCCCTGCGGGGAGCCCCGGAGAGGGCGTCAGCCTGCAGTGCCCCCCGCCCCTGCGCTCTCTGCCCCTCCACCAGTCTGGCCACTTCTGAGGCCCGTCCACGATCCTTGCCTGGGGCCGAGTAGCAGCCCGGAAGGCAGCTCAGGGGCAGTGGCAAAGCTGAGGGGGTCCCGAGCCGTCAGTCTCGCTCTGTGGCCTGGGGCAGGAGCTACCTGGGCTTCTGCTCCCCGCCCACCCCAGAAGGGTCAGTGCTGAAACCACCACACTCAAGGCCGCCCGTGCCCTCTCTGTCACCGCCGCTGCTGCGGATGCCCACAGAAGCGGCACCAAGAAGCCACAATCAGGGCCACAGAGATGACTCAAAGCCAAGTGTGCCGGGCAGCCCAGCGTCTGGACCAGGCCCATGCCCGCAGCTCCCAGGCCAAGCCAACCAAGAGCCCACACAGCTGGGCCTGGGGTGGTCCCACAGCTGCGGCCGCCTCCGGGCCAGCCCTGCTGCCCGCCGGCTCACCTGGATCAGATACTGCTCCCGGATGTGGGCTCGGTCAAAGCTGACATTGTGCCCCACCACCAGCTGCTCCTGCCTGTCCCGCGGAGTGGGGCTGCCGCCGGACCCCGCGGGGCACTCCAGTGGGATGAGGTCATCCGGCGACAGCCGGCTGGTCCAGGAGAAGCGCTCTTCCACCAGCCGCCGGCTGCACCAGGAGTACCTGCAGGCAGAGGGGCCCGCTGGACTCTCAGGGCCTGCAGCTCCGGGACGGACTGCAGAGGGATGCCGCGGAGTCTCCCCACCGCCAGGTGACGGTGACTGAACCCAAGGCCCGGAACACAGCCTAGGTCGGTCCGGATTCGGCCACCGGAGCTGGAGACCCTCGAGTCCCTAAATCACTAAGGGTCCAGCACCAGAGACAGGCAGAACAGAAGCCTTCCGTGATGCTCAAGGGGACACCCTGGAGGAGGGCAGGGAGGTGCCTGCTCGGCACACAGCCCACCCTGGTTCAATCTCCGGCACCTGAGATGGTTCCTGAGCTCGGTCAAGAATGATCCCTTAGCACAGAGCCAGGAGTCAGCCCTGAGCACCACTGGATGGGGCTCAAAACCAGAAAGGCATTATTTTTAAGAAGGAGACAGCACCCCTGCATGGCCAGCGTGAGGGTACAGGACTAGGAGAAAAGGCCCTGGTGGCCGGCAGAGGGCATACACCGGGTGGCAGATGCCTTCTTGGGCAAGACCAGCCAAGAGGGCACGGAAAGTGCCAGAAAGGAGGCAGAGGCAGGAGAAGGCTGGAGCTCACCGCCCACCCACTGTCCCTCAGGAACAGAGGTGGGTGCCGGGCCCCAAGGGGGCTCCAGACTGCCGGGAGGCCCAGGCCCCCAAACAGAGGGCAAAGCCTCCAAGACTCCCGGACAGCAGAAAAAGAGGCACATCCACATCTGAACCTGCAAACACTCCACCACTGCCAGGTCAGAACCCCTCGGAGTGCACAGAAGCAACCTAGGGACGAAGGAGACTTCAGTCACAGCACTAAGCCACCTTCAAGCAAGACCTGGGCCCAGAGAAGCAGCAAGGAAGAGCTGACGTGGCAAGTTCCCGGCATGCCGAGGCGGCGCTCACTGCACTACCAGGGCTGCTGAAGCGCTGGGCTGCCTGGCAGAGCCGCTGCGGCCAGAATCGAAGCTCTCCCAGCAGCCTCCAGGAGCAGGCCCCCCTCCCCAAGCAGTGCTCTTTGCTTCCTGGCAAGGACGGAATGAGAGGGCCAGAGAGGTAGTGCAGTGGGCAGGGCACTTGCCTAGCATGCATGCAACCGGGGCTGGGTCCCCAGCACCCCACAGGCTCCCCCAAGTCTGCCAGCGGTGATCCCTGGAGCATAGGGCCAGGAGTCAGCCCTGAGCACCACTGGGTGTGCCACCTGCCACCCTCCTACAGTTCGGCCCTCCGCTGTACCGCTAAACGCATCCACCCTTAGCCTGGGAGGTGCCGGGCAGCTTCTTGACTCCCATCACGGACCTCGTGCATGCCAGGTCCCAGGAGCCCCGCAGGATGGCCGACCCCGCGCTTACCAGGCCGAGGGGGACAGGGCCACCGCCAGGGTGGGGCAGGTTCCCTCTGCCAAGCAGACCTCCACGTCGAACACCAGGGCCCGCTCCTCGGGGGCGGCCACGGGTGCGGCCTGCCCCGCGGGGCCGTACCGCGTCCAGCCCGGCGCCCGGGCCCAGCTGCGGGGCCGCGCGGGCAGCTGCGCCCGCAGGAGCGCGTGGGCCGCGTCCAGGTAGGGCAGGCTCTGCTTCTGCGCCAGGCGGCGGAAGTGCTGGTCCAGGCTGCCCCCGTAGAGGGGCGGCAGGCGCAGCTGCACGTCGGGCAGCGGCGACGCCGGCTGCCCCCAGAGCCCGTGGCGCTGCAGGTGCTGGACGCTGCGGCGCACCGCGGCCTCGCGGGCCGGGCTCTCCGCCGCGCCGCGCCCGAAGATTTGCTCGTGGAGGCCCCGGGACAGCATCTGGATGCGCAGGGGGCTGTAGCGTCGCTGCTCGCCCTCCGAGGCGCCGGGCGCAGGGGCGCGCGCGGCGGGGGCGCAGCTGCAGGCCCGGCGGCCCCGAGCTGGGGCCGGCCCCGGGGCGCAGGACGCCGCCGCCGCCGCCGCCGCCTTCTTCCCGAGCAGGCGACTCATGGTGGCCGGTGCAGGGAGCCCCGCGCTGGGCGCCAGGACACCGCGCCTCGCGCTCCAGCTTGGCTGCTTCACGGGCGGGGAGACGCGGAGACGCGCACGTCCGGCCTCGGCCTCTGCGCCAGCGCGGCGGCCCCGACCATACCTGCCGTGCGTCCAGGGGCCTGGAGGGGACAGGACACCCGAGTCACGGCGGCCACGTGCGCGGGACGGGGCGGGGCGCACGGGGCAGGGAGAGGGCGGGACACCGGTTCCGACTCGCCGCCCGCCGCTTGGGCGAACAGTGCCGAGCCTCCCGGGGAAACTGAGGCGAGCGCACGGGTAGCGCGGCGAGCTCGGGGAGGCTGGGACGCGCCGCCGCGAGCTGGGGAGCCCGGAGCGCTGTGACCTTGGGAGGGACCCCTTCTGCCGGGGCCCCCTCGCCTCCTCTGCAAACTGCGAGTGCGGGAGCACCTGTCGCACGGGGGGCGGACAGGGAGCGCGCGCCCTGGGGACACGGGGGGCCCGAGGGCCTGGGAGTCGGAGGGAACCGCGCCTTGGCTCGAGCCCTCCCGGTGCCCGCGATCCCAGCCCGAGGGGCTCGGGGTGCCCCCGCGCGCCCTCCCGCCCGCCGTGCCCGGGCGCGCCGCGCTGCCCCCGGGACCAGCCTCCGCCCCGCTCGGGCCTCGCTCCCGGGCCGGGCCGGGCCGGGCGAAGCGGCGCCGCTGCCCGGCTGCCTCCCCGCGCCGCCCCCGCCGGAGACCTCGGTCCGCTGGGCGCTCGCGGCTCCGCGCCCCCGGCCCGCAGAGTCCCCTCCGCGCGCGGCCTGCGCTGCCCGGCGCCCGCCCGCGGCTCCTCCCGGCCCCGCGCCCCGCTGGCAGCCGCGACTTCCCGTCGGCGCCGCGCTCCGAGCGGGGGGCGGGGCCACCGGGGCAGCCAATGGCGCGCGGCTCTCCGGGAAGGGGGCGGGGACCTCCGGGGGAGCCAATGGGAGAGTCGGTAATGGGCCGGCCCGCCCGCAGGGGGAGCGGGGCACTTCCGGGGCCGCCTTCCCGCCCGGAGCGCCGGGACCCAGGTCCGACTCCCCCCCGCGCTCGCGCAGCCGGTAGGGCGGCCCTGGGCCGGCTGCCGGGCGCCGCTTTACTTTGTAGAGAGCTTGGAGCGGGGTTTCCGCTAGGTGGCCGCGTGGCCTAATGGATAAGGCGTCTGACTTCGGATCAGAAGATTGCAGGTTCGAGTCCTGCCGCGGTCGCATCGGGGTCTGTTGTCATTTTTGTACAGGCCCAATAAGCGGCGGCGAACCCACCTCCTCTTCTTCCCCACCCGCCGCACCTATCTCTTCTAGGTGAGATAAAGTCCCCCCAGGTACCAATTCAAATTGTACCCCAGGTGGAAGAAGGCACCCAGAGGTGTCACTGTCAACCTGGTACATTCCAGCCACTTGCATCTGGTTCACCGAGCCGTTTGGGGAACAGCGCCCGCGGAGAGCTAGCGCTCCATTTCAGGCGTCCCACCTAAATATGCTCTTTGTGTGTTTATCTGTTATTTGAGCCACACGTGATGGTGCTAACTCCCGACCCGAGCTCAGAGCTCACTCCTGGCGGTGTCGGGATTGAACCCGGGAGCGCGTGCAAGGCCAATGCCCTACCACTATGCTGTTGCTCCCTTTCCTAATATTATATTATATTAATTATATTTATTATATTATACTTTGTGTATGGGCCTCCCCAGCAACTGAGTCCCGCTGGGTACTGAGTCCTGGGAACTCAGTCCTCCAGGATGCTGTGCTGAGGGCCACCAGGGCTACACAGCCAGCAGTACCCAGGGGCCGATGGAACTCTGTGCTTTGTGTTTTTAAAGCCTCCACTCCACTTTTTCCTTTCTCTCCTTTTTTCTTTTTTGGTTTTGGGGCAGACTCTTTGCGTGTAAGCCTCCGTCCTGAGGGCTGGCACATCCTTCCAGAAGGAGAGGCAGAACTCTGGGTCCTAAGGCCACCTCCACCTGTCTGGAGGAAGATTCTGTTTCAGGTCACTGTGAGCACTGCTGAGGAGCAGGCAGGCAGTGCCTGGGATGGAACCCAGCACTGCTAAGCCGGGTCCCCATTCCCACCTACTCTGGCACTTCTAAGAGGTCATGTGCCCTGAACTGCCTGGCCAGAAAGTTGGCACCCTGCACCCTTCCCAGCCCCTCATCAGCCCCTGAAATCTCTGGAGCCCCCCCCCCCCCCCCCCCCCGTCCTCTGAGGCTGCCCTGGAAGACACACTTGGCCAGGGACAGTGGGACTCTCCATCAGCTGACAGGCGAGGTGGCCTCGCTCCAGATGGTTCCTGCAGCTTGGGGGGCCCTGATGACTCACCTGGGGGTTGGAAGCATTTCCGTTTAGCTGAGACAGACACCCACAGGCATGAGTCGACAGACAGCTGGGAACAGAGCCCTGGTTTGGATCCCAGATTCCCCCCGCTAGACCTTCAGCCCATCAGCTTAACACAGCTTTATGTGTTTTCAAGTATGGGAGGGTGCTAGGAAGATAGTGGTACCTCATGACTCAGGTTCCATGCCCAATACCCTATATGGTTTGTGGACCCAAAGCTATATATATATTTTTTTTTTTTTTTGAGGAGTGTTTGGGTCACACTCGGCTGTGTCAGCGAAGGCTTCTGCATTAGGAGCTGGTAATGTGAGGGTACATGGGGCAGAATTTCCTGCTCCAGAGGCCTCCAACCCTGGGGCAGAGACAGGTGCATGGAGAGAGGCTGGCCAACTCTCTCTGAGCTGAGCTGTGCTGCTCTGGGTGGTTTATGGAGAGTTGCATTATTTGAGCTTTAGAGAGAATCCTCGAGAGTGTAACATCACCTGCTGGAAGAGCTGGGCCTGACCCGGGAGGAAACTTCCAGAAGCCAAATCCCAGGCCTGCCTGCACACCTCATTTCTTCTTGCTCATCCTCTACTCTGAGAGGCATGGAAGCCCAGAAATCATGAGCAGGGATTTTTTTATTCCTTAATTTTGAGTACCCTAAGTGCCCCAGTGTGGGGTGGCAGAGCTCTGGGAATGGATGGCGTCTAGTGGGAACCCAAAGCGGGAATCCTCGAGAAGATGATCCCAGTTCCAGATAGAAAAAAAAAAATCTCTTCTGTTAGGCCTGAGCTCCTCCGCGCACTCCCCAGAGCCCCCGCTCCAGAGCGTCCCCTGATGGACGGAGGGTTCCGTGCACATAACCAGGTACTCTACTTGGAGGCCAAGAGGCGAGGACGAGGGCAGAGACACCAGGTCCCTCCTTGATTCAGACCTCCCAGACCCTACAGGGCATCCTTCCCGCCGGGCCCGCACGCCTGCGTGACCCAGAAGCTTCCGCCAGAGGGCACTGTTGGATCGGGCGCCGGACCGCGCTCCGGGCGGGGCGAGCCCCGGGGTCGGGCGGGGGACGGGGACCCAAGAGTAGCGGGAAGCGCTGGGGAGGACGGGGCATGGCCGAGCATCGCTGCGCCTTCGGAAGCCACTAGTGCCCTGCCAGAGGCCTGGCGGCGCCCGGTCAGATAGCAGGCGCGCACCTGCCAGCTCCCGAGCTCGGCACGGGGGCTGACCCCGCGCCAGGGGCGCTCCTCTGGGCTGGCCTCCGCTCCAGCCTCTGATCTGGACCTACGCTCCGCGGGCCGGCACTGCGAGTCCGCCCCCTCCTCTCCTCCAGGGCCGACCCCCAGCGCCCGCACCCACTGCGCTTCCGCGGGGACTTTGTCCAGTACCCCCAACCCCTTGTACCCCACATCTGGACTGTGCGCTTCTCTGGAGTTAAGCTTCTGCGACGGGAATGGCCTTTTCTCCACCTGAGTGAACCGCCCCCAGGCTGGGCATAGCTTGCACCCCGTGACCCCCAAAATGCTCTTTCGTGGGTTCTGCTCATCTTTGGGCCATGGGTGCCACATCCTAAGATGGATCACCAAGCAGAGCACTCTGGGTGGGGTGGGGGGATGCTAGGACATATCCTAACCTGTGCATGGGGACCCCCCGGGAGCCTGGAGGTAACTGCTGAGGTCTGGGCACCTCTGTCCTTTTTATAATGAACTGGGACGCTGTCCATGCTGGAGGTGGGGGGTGTGAGCTTCAAGGACCACCCCTCTCCTGCTGAGTGCCCCCCCCCCCCATGCACACTGGAGCATCCCCTTCCAATCTTTACCTCAGGGGAGATTTGCACCTCTAATGGGACAGGGAGTAGAGGAAAGACCACGGCAGGCGTCTCCTCCACCCCATTCCTGAGAGCCAGGACAACTTGCAAGATGAACCCACTGGACAACCCCCTGAGAACCCTCCAACCCACTGGGGGCACATCCCCCCAAAGTCAGCCAAGGGCAGGCCCGAGAGACCGGGAAGGGGCCTGCCTGGGCTGGGTTCGCTGGGGCCCTGAGTAGCGCTGCCTAATGGATTCAGGCCGCCAGGCCGGGCAGAGCTGTCTATAGCGGACAATGGAGTCCTGGGGTGACCCGAACAAAGAATTTGGAAGTAGTTAGACTGCAGAACACGTTCTGGGCCTGGGTGCTTCCTTTCAAACCCAGCGCTTGGAGAAGAAAAGAAAGCGCTGGGGGGTGGAGGGGGTGAGAATGTACCCAGGGGAAAAGTTGGTAGGTCGTTCAGACGCTGGGAATTCAGTGGGGAATGGGGGAGGGGACAGCCGGCAGCAGGGAAAGGCCAGGAAAGTTCTCTGGGAATGCCTGGGAGTCCTCTGAAGAGACCAGGCGTGACCCAATGCCGGGGCGGGGGTGGACCCCCCACTCTGCACCAGGGAGCGAGCTGGGGGAGGGGGCTTCTCCTGGCTTTGGAGGCTGGGATGGGACCGCCACTGGGTGGACAGGAAAGTGGGTGTGTGGCTGCCCAGGGAGAATCTGTGCATGAACATCTCCCTCTGGACATCCCCTGCTGTCCCAGTGTTGACCATTAGGAAATCTGCAGAGCACCTCGTCTCTGCACCCTTTCTCCGGGTGGGTGCTGCTCTCCCCTCCCCCCTCCCCAGCCCTCTGTGTTGTTCTAATGAGCATTTTTTCCTTTAAAAAAATTAGGCCTGTATGGGGTAGAAATAGATACCAATTACGAGTTTTCATGTCTAATATTTCTTCCGAACATTCTGATATTTATTTTTTCTTTTTTCACCCACCAAGAGCCATCATGGT